TTTGGTCTTTTTGAGACAGGATCTCTCTGTAGCCCCAGCTCTCCTGGACCTCACTATGTAGACCAGGGCTGGCCTGAACTCACAGAGATCCGCCTGCCTCTCCCTCCCGAGTGCTAGGCCTAAAGGTGTGTGCCACCACGCCTGGCTCTAAATAAAATATTTTAAAAAGAAGTATTTCCAGCTTTGGGGCTTCTCCTTCAGGTGGTGGATCATGGACTGCAGAAATCACTGGTATTTGAGGATGACCTGCGTTTCGAGATCTTCTTCAAGAGGCGCCTGATGAACCTCATGCGGGATGTGGAGCGTGAAGGGCTGGATTGGGACCTCATGTGAGTGGAGCTGACAGGGTGGACATGTTAGCAGGGCAGGGCCAGGGCCGATGCACAGCCTGGAGCTAGTGTGTTTTGGGCCTGGGCGTGACTTGGTTCCTACCAAAGTCCCCTAAGCCTGCCCTGTCCCTAACTTTTTGGGTTATCATTCTCTTGGGGGTTGGAGGAGTGTGACAAGTCCCTGACTCAGTGCCATGGGTCCAAGATTGTGGTTGAGGATAATAAATGGCCAGGGGTGTGGCCAGAAGGCTCATGAGGCTCCCGGGCTTAGCATGTTCCCAGAGTAGGTCTTCAGAAAGGTGACCCAAAGTTGGGTCATGTCAGGCTTATAGGCATGGTTGAGGTTTGGAGACATGTCTAGGTATGACTGTGATTGGACCTGGGAATATGTGGTGTGGGTGAAGGGCATGGGCAATGCGGACCGGGGCCTGGACATACTGGGAATGCTCCTGACTTGCAGGGGTGCACAGAACTACATGTGTCTCCTATGTGAGGTCATGACTTCAGGGCCTGCACCTCAAACCAGCTCTGGGATGTATGTATGTGTGACCAGGATAGTTAGAGAATTCTCTGGAATCTTGTGCAGGTGGCCTTGTCTGGCCTGCCCCCGCCACCTCCCTCCACACACACCCCTGTTCTCCCTGGCTCTTCCTCGTCCCTCGCCCTCCCGTGAGCAGTCACAGAGTTTGGTTCTAGACTCACTGCTCCAGAACCCTGGCTGTGTTATTAATGTGACTATGAACCTTGCCTTCATTCCCGATCACCCCCGCCCAGCTCCATGCCTCACAGCTCTGTGAACCCTGAGCAACTTCAGCCTGAAAGAAAATCCCAGTGACCTGCTCCACAGAGACCCGGAACATCCCATAGCTTCTCAGTACCTTTCAAAAAGTCAGCATGGCTGGGCAAGGTGCAGGCCTGCATTCCAGCACTCAGGAGCTGAGGCAGGAGGACTGCCATGATTTTGAAATGACTGGGGACTATGTAATGAGTACCAGGTTTGCAAGAACTACATAGCAAGACTCTGACCCCGAACAATGACAGACTGCTGAGCATGGTGGCACACACCTGTAAGCCCAGCATACAGGTGGCAGAGACAGAGACTCTGTCTTAGGAAAACAAAAAAAAAACAGAGAAGTCAATTTAATCCACTCCCTTTGACCAGCTGCCGTGTGTCCTAGGTTCACCCCACCACCCCATCACACTGAGCCTGCTGCCTCCTGGACCTCGTGGGGTGACTTGGTTCCTACCCAATGTCCCTGTGTCCAACTGTTCCTGGCTTTCTGCATTAGCACTCTGGGGGATGGGAGGCATGTAACAAGTCTCTGATTCTGCACCCCAGCTACGTGGGCCGGAAGCGCATGCAGGTGGAGCACCCTGAGAAGGCTGTGCCCCGAGTGAGGAACCTGGTGGAGGCCGACTACTCCTACTGGACACTGGCCTATGTGATCTCCCTGCAAGGTGCACGAAAGCTGCTTGATGCCAAGCCATTGGCCAAAATGCTGCCTGTTGACGAGTTCCTGCCTGTCATGTTTGACAAACACCCAGTGTAAGGGGGCACTGGTGAGGGGCAGGCTGGGATCCTGAGGTCTCACCAGGTTGGGGCGTGGACTTTGGAGTGGGAGGTGGAAGAGGAAGGGGAAGGGAGAGAAGAGGAGTCTTAGACCCAGTGGAGGGGTCTCCTTCTCCAGCCACTTGACCTCCATCCCCCTCCCTTCATCTCCCCTGTCTTCCTTCAGGTCAGAGTACAAGGCCCACTTCTCTCCCCGCAGTCTGCGTGCCTTCTCTGTGGAGCCCTTACTCATTTACCCCACACACTACACAGGGGACGATGGCTACGTGAGTGACACCGAGACCTCAGTTGTCTGGAACAACGAACAGGTTAAGACCGACTGGGACCGGGCCAAGTCCCAGAAGATGCGGGAACAGCAGGCACTGAGCCATGAGGCTAAGAACTCAGATGTGCTCCAGTCCCCGTTGGACAGTGCTGCCCGCGATGAGCTCTGAGGGACAGTTGGCAAAAAGCCAAAGCAGACACTGCAGGTCTAACCTTCACATGCTTGCTGGGGACAGCAGGGGAGACCGCAGAAGCCCCCACATGCAGGGTGCTATCCAGCCAGGTCTTCTTGCTCAGCAGCCACTACCACACAGGCAGCATTAATAGAGTGCTTACTGCATACCAAGAACAGGACTGGGAATGAGGAGATTGGACAGGAACAAACTTTCATTTGTTTATGTTTCCAACATATATTAAGCACCTACACTGTACCAGGTTCCAAGTTAAAAGAGGTGAGATAATTCTCTTTATCAGCAATGGATTTGCTCATCAGGCATTTATTGATCAGATTAAGAATCAGGTATTAGGGATACATACTTGCTTTTAAATCCATTCAAGTATTTGTTGAGTGCCTACTGTGTGTTAAGTACTGTTCTAGGCTCTGGGACTACCAAAATGAGAATGACACTTCCATTCATTTATTCAGACACCTATCAGGCATTTACTGTGTGTCAGGAGCTCAGCTAGGTCCTGGGGATAGAGGTAAGCATGGTATGTGTCACTTTAATGAGCTCCCTTTACACTGACTGCTGCAGTGCTCACAGTAAGAATCAGCGTTATAATTCACCCCATATGACAGGTTCTGTGCCAACTGCTGGCACAGGGAAATGAACAAAATTGGTCCCTTTATACAAAAAGCATTTATCAAGCACCCGTGATGTGCCATAACTTATGGACTCCTGGTGGTGTAGAAGAGCTGACTCCCCCAACTCTGTTGTGCAGACAACATCCTCCCCCTGCCCAGAGGGTTGGGAGAGTCACTCCTCCCCCACCTCACCCCCGGGTAACTGCTGGGGTCCCAGGCTTCAGCTGCTTGCTAGCTCCCCTGGAGGGGTCACAGATAAGGATGGGCCTCCTGGCCCAGCCTGGCTCCCCTTGCTTCTGTCAGCCCTTGTCTCAGGTGTCCCCTGCCTGCTCCTGTGTTTGGGGCCTTGTGGGGGCCAAGCTGCCTGGGGTGCTGCTGTTGGTCTGGGTGGGATGTTTCCCAACAGGGCCAGGGTGGCTGCTGTGCCTTCAAAGCAAACCCAAATGTCAGGAGGTGGAACGGTGTGCTGCCTCCTTTGGGATGACTGTTCTCCAGGTTGGCTCCTGGATAACTTGCTTATTTTTTTTATTAAATGCGCCTGGGTGGTTTTCACTGAAGTCTGTCAACTTTCTGCCCACATCTCTGTCCCCACCGGTCAAGATTTGGGGGAGAAGTGGAACTTGCAGGCGGCTGCCACAGAAGTCACTAGGCACTGAGGCAAGTGTGGAGGGTGAGTCTCAAGTCTTGTGTCCGTGCACACCCACAAAGCACCTAGGAAGTATCCAGTGGGAGGAATCTTTCCAAATGATGTGGGGGGCCGCCATGGTCTGGGTCCCCAAGGAAACGCTCCTCAGTGAGTGCTCCGGTTATGGGGGTATATCCCTCACAGAATGCAGGAAAGAGCCTTCCGGGGCTGATGGGTAGCCTGAGCAGACAGCCACAGACGAGGGGACACTGCTCTGGTTTTGTTCTGCTGCTGTGATAAAACACTGACTTGGGGAGGAAAGGGTTTATTTCATCTTGGGCTTTCAGGTCACAGCCTGACACTGAGGGAAGCCCAGGCAGGAGCCTGGAGGACGCTGCTTGCTTGCTTGTTCCTTCTCAGGCTCCTGCACAGCCAGCTTTCTTACACAGCCCAGGACCACCTGCCTAGGGTTGGAGCTGCTCACGGTGGGCTGGGTCCCCTGCATCAATTGTAACACACCAGTCCCCCACAGACATGGCTACAGGCTAACGTGGTGTGGGCAGGCCCTCCGTTCTTAGGACTGTGAGCTGACAGTTCAAGCAGGACAGGTGTCTCCTTTGCAAAGCCTGCTTTGACCTGGCTCACCACTTCTCAGGATCCTAGGGCTCTGCACACAGGGACATGCGTCCTTTTATAAATTAGCACAGATGGTGTGTGACTGCTATGGGCAAAATTGGGACTCACAGCCAGGCGTGCTGGCAGAGCAAAATTAGAGCATGCTCTCAGACGCAGTGCCTAGCATTGTGCCTTCACTAACTGTGCCACGGTGTCCCTGGGTGTCGCTGGCCATGGGCTCCAGGACCACACAGACACCAAAACAGCCACATGCTCAGGGTCCTCTCTAACCATGTAGTGTCTGCACAGAACCAGCAAACATTTTCTAGTGTCTGTTTCATTTTTTATTTTTCAGACAGGGTCTCATGTAGCTCAGGCTAGCCTCAAACTCTGTGTAGCTGAAGATGAGATGGCCTTGAACTCCTGATCCTCCTGCCTCCATCTCCTGAGTGCTGGGATAACCGGCACACACCACGTCTGGTTTACAAAGTGCTGGGGATGAACCTGGGGCTTCATGCATGCGTGGCAGGTGCTCTCCCATTGGCTCCGGCCCTGGCTTCTTCCCCTTCACATGGACTGTGATTCATCTCTGGTTGACTTAGGGTTCTCAAGGTAGTATGAATGCCGGCTGAGCAGGGCATAGAAGGAGAGCTTAAAAAACATTTAGTCCCCATTCGATTTAGACCCCTGAGCAGTTCCACCTGTGTTGCTTCATTTTCAATGTTTGTTGTGTGTGTATGTGCACGTGTAGAGGTCAGAGGACAATGTGTGGTAGTTGGCTCTTCCACCATGTGGGTCCTGGAGAGTCGATTCAGGTTTGGTGCGGCAAGCACCTTTACCCTCTGAGCCATCTTGTTGGCCCTTGGTTGATTGTTATGGATCTTTAAAAGCATAGACCTTGGTCTTCTGGTACACACATAATGTTGAAAGAATAATCACAGGGGCGGGGTGGGGTAGAGGCTTGCCCAACAAGCAGAAGGGGTAAACTCCATCCAGCACCAAAAACAAACAGGACGAAGATTCAGAAGACAAACTCCCACACCCAGAGGGCCACTTTCTGTTTTCTTCCAAGCATGTGATCCAACTGTACCTGTTTTATTTTTGTTTCGTTTCAGAGGCATGTAACATGCCACAGCACACACATGGAGGGCAGTAGACAGCTTGTGGGGTGGTTCTCTCCTTCCACTGTGTGGATCCACAGGCTCAAACTCATTGTCAGGCTTGGCAACAAGCACCTTTATGTGCTGAGCCATCTTGCTAGCAAGCCACTTGTACCTATTTTACAAACAACTTCCCCAAACCCAGCAAATGGCCCAAGCTGGTCATCCTAGCTGTGGGGAGGCTGAGGCAGGAAGATCAGGAGCTCAAGGTCATTTTCTTTTGCATAACTCAAGTAAGTCTGAGTTACATCAGACTTTGTCTTGAAGAAATTTTAAAAATCCATTTTAAAGAAAAATGTTTTTGATGTATTTGTTTTTATTTTATATGTATGAGTGTTACGCCCATGTGTGCCGTGTCCAAGGAGGATAGAAGAGGGGGTTGGCTCCCCTGGGACTGGAGTTACAGTTGTTAGCCACCATGTGGTTGCTGGGATTCGATCCCCGGTCTTCAAGAACATCCAGTGCTTTTAACTGCTGAGCCATCTCTAGCCCCCAAATTTCCATTGTACTAATTGTAATTTAGTCATCTATTTTTATGACAGGGTCTCACTATACATCTCTGACTGGCCTGAAATTCAGAGATCCACCTTCCTCTTTCTCCTAAGTGCTAGCATTAAAACCATGTACCACCACACCTGACCTGACTTGAGATAGTGTCTCGTCCTGTATCTGAGCATCCTATGTAGTCCAAACTTAAACTCATGGTGATCCTCCTGCCTCAGCCTCCCTACTGCTGGGATCACAGGTATGTGCCATCATGTGGCATTTCAATAAAACTTTGTTGACAAACACAAACTCTGGGCCTGATTTAGCCCAGGGGCCATAGTTTGTCAATGAACATAATTTTGTGCAAGTAAAACTTGACAAAAGCAAGCTGGAGGGGCTGGAGAGGTGATTCAGCAGTTAAGAGTACTGGCTGCTCTTGCAGAGGACCCAGGTTCCATTCCCAGCACCCACATGGCAGCTATGAACTGTCCTTACCTCCAGTTCCAGCAGAATCTGCAGCATTGCATGGCACAGGTCCACTCACATACATGCAGGCAATACACTCGTAAAATAAAAATAATAAAAAAAAATTTTTTTTAAAGCAAATGTAGCCGGGCGTGGTGGTGCATGCCTGCAGTCCCAGCACTTGGGAGGCAGAGGCAGACAGATCTCTGAGTTCAAGGCCAGCCTGGTCTATACTCATCTACATAGTGAATTCCAGGACAGCTGGGGCTACAAAAAAAAAAAAAAAAAAAAAAAAAAAAAAAAAAAAAAAAGCAAAGGCAGATTTGGTTCCTGGTTTTATAGATTAGGACAGAGCAGAGGGCTGGGTTTGGGAGTGGAACTGGCCTTTCAACAGTAGTGAGGTCCTCCCTGAGTATCCCAGACCAGCTGCTTCTGCTGGCCGCAATGGAGGTCCTGCCACCTTGCAGACTCTGGCAGGTGCCCATGGTCGGGGATTTGGATCCCAGCTTGGTGCAGAGAAAGTGCTTTGCATCCTGTGTTTCCAGGGGCTGGTGGGATGGGACTAGTGTCACCTTCCCTGATCTATATCTCTGAACACTGCACCCTCCCTCCTTTATCGGTGGTGTCTTCCCACAAACTGACACACATAGATACTCCTGACTCCTGGTGGCTGCTGCAACACCATCAGTTTTTCCAGCTGTGTACAACCTTCCTGTGCATCCGGAAGCAGAAGTGCTGCGTTTTGTGTAACTCAAGGCTGAAGCTGTGTGTTCTATGTTCAGTCCTTGTGGTTGTTACTTGAAGCCAAAAGTATTCACCAAACATTGGGGGAGGGGTCGGTTCCACAGCCCCAACCTATGGCAGGCGCATTAAGAAATATAATGAGGAAGCCCAGCTCGCTAAGGAACCCTCGGTGGGATGAGATGGTCTCTGCCTCTGCTGAGAAGGTCGCTCAGGGCCAATTAAATGCAGCAGGAGGAAAATGAAGTTGCTTTTCATTGACTTGTTTCATCTGTTTTTGCTGGGGGGTGCTCAGGGCCTCCTGCAGGCAGGCAGGTATTCTAGGGCTCAGCCAAAGCCCAGCCCTTGTACTGTTTTATTTATTTATTTATATTTAAAATATTTTATTATTATTTTTTATGTGTATGAGTGTATTGCCTGCATGTAGGTAAGTGCACCCGCGTAGTGCAATGCTCGTGGAGGACAGAAAAGGCTGTCGGATCCCTTGGAACTGGAGTTACAGACAGTTGTTAGCTGCCATGTGGGATTTGAACCTGGGTTCTCTGCAAGAACAGTCAGTGTTCTTAACCTCTGAGCCATCTCTCTAGCCCCTTCATATATATTTTTTTAATTTTATTTATTCTATTTTTCTGTGGTGCTGGGAATGGATCCCCCAACTCTGTGTATGTTGGGCAATACTATAATCCCAGAGCTTCACTCCAGCCCTCCCTTTATTTTTTTAGAAGCTTTAAGATGATGTTTTAAAAATATTCATTTGGGCCTGGAGAATTGGCTCAGTGGTTAAGAGCACTGGCTGCTCTTGCAGAGGACCCAGGTTCAATTCCCAGCACCCATATGGCAGCTAACAGCCATCCATAACTCCAGTTCCAGGGGATCTGATGCCCTCTTCTGGCCCCTGCAGGCAGACATGCATGACAGGGGTGCACTTACATACATGCAGGCAAAACACTCATACATGCAAAATAAAAATATATAAATATGGGCTGGAGAGATGACTCAGCAGTTAAGAGCACTCACTGACTGCTCTTGCAGAGGACCCAAGTTCGATTCCCAGCACCCACGTGACAGCTATGAACTGTCCGTAACTCCAGTTCCAGGGGAATCCGAAGCCTCTTCTGACCTCCGTGGCATTACCATTGTATGGCATTCTCACATACACGCAGGCAATACGCTCATATGCATAAAATATAAGAAATGAAAAATATTTTAAAAGAGCACTGGCTCTTGAGACGGTATCACTACATAGCCCTGGCTGGCCTGGAACTGACAGACATCTACCTGCTTCCGCCTCTCAAATTTGAGGACTAAGGGTGTGTAGTACCACACCCAGCAAAGATTTATTTTTCTTTATCTGAGTAATGTGGGTTTGTGCATGTGAGTGCAATGTGGGTGATGGCCACAAGAAGGCCCTGAATCCCCTAGAGCTGAAGTGACAAGCGGTTGTGAGCTGTAGGAGCTGGGCGCTCAGTGCTGAACTCTGAACCGGCGTTAAGCGATCTTAAACACTGAGCCGTCGCTTCAGCCCCGCCAAGCACTACATTGTTGGAGACAACCTTTTTTTCATATTTATTATTTTTATTTTATGTGCGTGTGTATTGCTTGTGTGTAGGTAAGTGCACCCGTGTCCTGCAATGCCTGCAGAGAACAGAACAGTCTGTCGAATCCCCTGGAACTGGAGTTATGAACAGTTGTGAGCTGCCATGTGGGTGCTGGGATTTGAACCCAGGTCTTCTGCAAGAATAATCAGTGTTCTTAACTGCTGAGCCATCTCTCCAGCCCCAAGTTGGAGACAATCTTAGTCTACGGCCCAGGCTGGTTTGGGACTTGCCATCCTCCTGCCTCAATCTCCTAAGTGCTGGGAGCACAGACAGTATCGCCCTTCAGGACTGGCTGACGTGCTTCATGGTGGTTTTTTGTTTGTTTTTTGTTTTTTTGATCTTTTTGAGACAAGGTCTCCCTGTAGCCGCAGCTGGCCTGGATTCGCTAATGGAGACCAAGCTGGCCTCGAACTCGCAAAGATCCGACTGCCTCTGCCTCCCAACTGCTGGGACTACAGGCGTGTGCCACCACGCCCTGGCCTTGGTGGGCATGTTTTAACGTTTATTTTGTGTGTGTATGTGCATCAGCGTGACGATTTTCAGACGTTGGTTCCCTCCTTTCACCGTGTTAGTCCTAGGACTCGAATTGAAATTGCCAGGTTTGGCGGCAAGTGCCCCTACCCACTGAACCATCCCGCCAGCTCTGGCTGAGGTTTAGACTTCGGGGACCGCAAGAACTCCAGCCAGCACCGAGGCGCTGTGCTTTTTCTTTTTTTAATGCTAATAAAATATTTTTACAGAGACCAAAAAGTCAGAATAGTGCAAAACACCTCAACGCCATGCACTCATGAACACTCCCCGGGTGTTTTGAACGCGTGTCCCAAGTCACCTATTGACTGATAAATGAGGGCGCCCCGGAAGACACCGGACCAACAGAGTGAACCTTAAAAAAAAAAAACAAACCCAAAAACAAAACGGAAAAAACCCCAAGAACACCGCTTGGAGTCCACATTTGCAGTCACATGCTAAGAAAGGCGAGTGGAGGGGCTGCCAGGGCTCGGGGGTCGGGGACCGTCTGGGGTGCAGGGGCCGCCCCGCCTGTCACCTGCGTCGTCAGAGCCTCTGGCTGGGCGGGGCTGAGGTCTGACCTGACTCAGTTCCATTTCGCTTTTCAAAACAAAAGGCAAAAGGAAAGCGACCAGGGTAAGCTTAGCCGGCTTTGGTCCTGAAGGATTCTTAGGAAGGAAGCTCAGGGAATGGGGCGGGGCCAGAAAGTCCCGTCCCGCCCCGGTCCCCGCAGCACAGGCCCCACCCCAGGGGGCTGCTTGGGACCCGGGAGAATCTGAGGTCTCAGCCGAGAGAGGTCCCTAGGAGTTCTGGGTGGATTTAATTTTTTGCATGTCTGATGGGGGAGGGGCATGGTGAGGCGACCGGCCCTGGGTTCCAAGAGGGACTGGTGGGGGTGCAGAGGGCACCCCTTCATGTGCTGACTCTTTTCAGGTTGGGGGTGAGCTGAAGGCAGGGCGGTGCTGCCTTTTTAATATGGCGGGGGTGCTGGATACAGAACCCGGTACAGTGCATAATTGGCAGATACTAGGCCTTGTCCACAGGCCCTCACTGGGGGATTCTAGGCTGGGGCCACACCCTCAGCTCCCCTAACTTTCTTACCTACTTCCCACCCCTCCCTCCTTCGGCCCTCTCTGCAGCTGTCACCCTAAACCTGCCTTCCTCCTTGAGTCTTTTAATTCTTTTTTCCGTCTTTTTGAGACAGGGTCTCCCTGTAGCCCCAGCTGGCCTGGAACTCACTATGTAGACCAGGCTGGCCTTGAACTCACAGAGATCCCCCTGCCTCTGCCTCCGGAGTGCTGGGATTAAAGGGGTCCCACCTTGTCCTTATGTCTCTTGGGAACCCAGCTTTGGCTCCTCCCACCCTGACCTGCTGTCGGCTTCCTGCTTCTGGCCAGGCCAGGCTTCCTCATGGTTCTAATCCTAGTGTGGAGAGGCGCAGGACCACAGCAGGGCCCATTTGCTAAGGTCCTCCAAAGCAGGCAGGAAAGCTCATAGGGACGTCCCAGGCTGGATAGCTTTGGGGAAACTTTCTCTCTAGCCCTTCTGTAGCCTAGACTGTCAGAACCCACCCCCTGCTCATTCCTCTCCCTCAATCCTGGTAGTCCAGGGCTCAACTGGGCCTGGCTTATGTCACGGCCCAGGAAGCTGGCAGGACAGGCATGCATGTGCATGGTGACACACCGGCCCTCAGCCACATCACTCCAATTAGCACAACCTGCCTTCATTCCCCGACAGCTGCTTATTCTGGGGAAACTTGGAGCTTCCAACAGGCTTAAGCCAGACAGACTCCCCAGTGTCATGACATTAGGGCCAATCTGAACACAGGCAGAAGCAGGAGTTCCTGAGGGACAGTTTGTGCAGTTGTTCTGTGACCTGTATGGAAGGTGACCAAGTCTGTGGTAGAGGAGATTCCTAACAGTCCTAGCCTGGGCTACACACACACACACACACATTCTCTTTCTCTTTCTCTTTCTCTCTCTCTCTCTCTCTCTCTCTCTCTCTCTCTCTCTCTCTCTGGAACTTTCTGGCACCCTCTTGCTTCTGTCACACAGTCCTACAGTTCACATTCCTGCTGCCACTCAAAAGACTTCCAAGGCTGACCTCCCTCACAGCCCACCGCCCCTTCCTGGTGTCCAGTGCCATCAAGTGAGTCATATCACCCTCCCTCCTGGAGCAGTCTCAAAGCACCCTGTCCCTGGATGAAACCCCATCCTGTAAGAGAGCCTCCATCCTGCCTCTGGGCACAGATGACTCCTCATCTCGTGCTTCAAAATTCATGGGGCACACAGCCCTTTCACGCCAGGCAGAAAAGGGGCAACGAACTCTATCATGCTCAGTAGCCTAGGATTTGCATGTGGCCTCCTTAGAGATGCCAAGATCCCTGTGTAGTGTGCAACTTCGACAACTGCCCAGCCAACCCTGAGGCTCAAGTGAAGGCCTCTTGCATGAACTAACTTCTCAGCCAAATTTGTGGGCTGGAGGCAGAGCTCCAGGCATGCAGGGGTCCTGCCGGCACCAGCATCCAGGATGGGGGCGGCTGAATGACATTCTGAGCCAACATTGTCCATGTGATCGAACTGGCACACCACATACATACACACACACACACACACACACACACACACAGACACACATATACACACAAACCTCTAGTTTCTGGTCTCTTTCTGTCCTTTCCTGCGTGGAGAATGTGGAAAAAGGCCAAAGGATGTGGGAGCCTGGGTCCAGGGACCCCAAGCCCTCAGTCTTGGTGGGACATTGAGTTCTAGGCGGTTCCGGCTTGAGTCCCTGGAGAAAGGGCTGGGGACAGGGGTTTGGCAGCCAGAGGACTCAATGGGGGCCTTGGCGGGGGGATCCTCCTAGGGGAAGAAATAGGGGGAAGAGGGGATTTAGCAGCGATGGGGGCTTGGGCCGTTTGGCCAGGCTCAGCCCACCGAGGATGGCACCTATCGGTGCGTTCGCTGGGCTATGAGGACCGGGTTTGTGGGAGAGTGGGGGAGATACCCCACAGGGAAGCGGGCCGCCCCTTAGGCCTCCGGGTGTGGCGCCCTAGGGCGCATGTGCTTTAGAGACCCCCACCCCCAATTAATTTTTTGCACAAACATCAAAGGGGACTCAGTGCCCTATGCCTTCAGCCTCCGGGTACCCCAGGCATCCGTGCCCCTCGCCTGGGGAACCGAGACCACACTTAGCAATTGGTCCCGGGCACCAGGGTACTGGGACCCTCTTTATGGCTTTTCCAGGGGGCAGGAGGCGGGGCTTCCCGCCAGAGCCTGGGGCGTGGCCTCCTCGGGGGCGGGGCTTCCTCCCATCCCCAACCAAGGCCACTAAGAGGGAGGGCGTGGCCTCGGGAGGGGCTAGACCTTTAGGGGCGAGGCCTACGTCTGCTCGGTGGTCCGACCCTTACCGACCCCCCCCCAGCGCGCTATGGCGCAGGCGCGGCACCGCCCTCCTCGGCAGAACGCGTGTCGGACTTGAGCTTGACGAACTCCTTGGCCACCTCGTCGTTGCTGCGCTGCGACAGGATGCGCAGCACCGTGAGCCCTGTGTCGTCCATGTGGATGCGGCGGCCGAGCGGCAGCCAGCATGCGGTGCTCCCGCGCTGGGCCAGCTCCCGCAACTGCAGCACGGCCAACCCCACCGTGCGGTCCTCGCGCGCGAAGCAGTAGTCCTTCACGCACACCTGCAGCTCATAGCACTCAGGGCCCGCGTCGGCGCTCAGTGAGCTGCAGGGAGAAGGGGGTAGCCAGCCCCGCCAGGCCATGCCGGCTCGAGACAAGCCCACGGACGGCCGGCCCTGCCCCTCTGAGGCACGCCCACCCTTGACCTCACTCACCCTGCTGGCCCCGCCCACTCAACCTGGGCCTTGGGAAGCGTGCCAGAAGAGGCACTCCCCACCTCGTGTTGGGCCACTCCCACACACACTAAATCATGCCCACCTGCTGGAAGGGTCACCCTGAAAGGCTCCGTCTCCCTGTGCTATCCACAGGGGCAAGCCAGACTCACCTCATGCTGGGCCCAGAGGGAGGCCTGCCCTGCCCTTCATATTGGGCCACGCCCCTTCTTGGGCTAAGACCCATCCCATCCCTCATGTTGAACCCATGAGGAAGGCCACTATCCAGGATAAATCCCACACGTCTGCCAAGGCCAGAGCTGTGGCCTCAGGCGGGGTCACTGAGGCCCACGCCTTTCCCTAGACCACTTCCTGAGACCACGCTCACAACTTTCCTATTTTCTCCTTCCTGGCCACGTCTACGACCGCCCCCTTTCCTGGCCACGCCCACACTTCGCCTTCCTGGCCACTGCTGGCTCACCCCTATCTCCTGGCCACACTCAAGCTGCACCCTCAGATCTGAGGTACCCTGTGTGCCCTTCCCACCCAAAGCCCCTCCAACAGCTCCCTGGGAGCCCTGGCTCCTACTGTGCTATGCCAGCTCAGCATCCCCCACCCTCTGCACTTCTGTCCTCGGCAGCCTGCAACACTGCCCCGGGATCCCCCACTGCCAACTCATCCCCATCTACCCTCTTGTCCCCAGCCCATCGGCCCCACCATGTAGCCCTAACCACCACCCTCACTCCCATGAGACCAGACCCAATCTTTGTGCTGGAGCAGTCCCAGGAGCTGGAGCTGACTGCCCCAAATGCGGCAGTCTCATACTATAATCTCATTCCTGTCCCCAGGCCCCTCCTGCCATCTTCCCCTCCATAAGGCCCCCCCCCCAGGACCTGTCTGTCCTAGAGGGATCTGCATCCGAAAGTCCCCTTCATGCCCCTGCTGTACCGAGAGGTCCCTTCCCACATGCCCAGGTATCACTGCCCCACCAGCCCGGGCCCCTGCCTAGAGGGCTAGGCTCACCCTCAGCACTCCAGATGGCTCCCACAGCACCCACACTTACAACTGGAAACTCTCGTTGTACTTGGGTGCCCAGCTGTTGTTCTTGGATTTGGTGGCAAACTTTCGCTTCTTGTCACTGAGCTGAGGCCCAACGATGTTGACCTCAATGAATGGCCGAAAGATGCCAGAAGTCTGCCACTTGAGGTCATTGGCCGCCACCACTGTTGGGGGTGGGGTGGAAGTCAGGCTCACCAGTGGGACAGAAATAGATACTTTGGTTTTTCGAGGACTGTTGAAAACAAGGCTTTCATTTCCCAGCATGCCCCTCTAGCTGACTGTGGCTAACAGAACAGCATGGCAGAGATGGAGAAAGAGAAGTGACACCTGAATTCCTGCCTGCTGCCATGCCTGCAGCAGAATCACCCCATGACATTTCAGTCTCCTACACCATTAAAAAAAACCAAAACTTTCCCCCTTGGCCTAAGTGTCTCCGAGTCTAGTTACCTCCCTCAGGCCACTCACCCTTCACTGTGACCTTCTGCTCTCCAGTCCCCGGATGTGTGAACAGCTCCACGTGAACAGACACTTCACCTACAGGGTCCTCCACACCCGAGCCTGGGTGGGTAGGGGAAGATGCCCGATATGAGTTGATTCTTTCCCAGGCAGGACGAACCTTGGCCACTTCCCCCACCATGTGCTGGCAGCACCAGGTCACCGGCCCTCACAGGGAGGTACTGAGGGCCCCAGTGTGGCAGGTGCCCTTGGGAAGCCAAGAATCCTAGTTGTGGCGTTTCACTGCCATACTGTGTGGCTTAAGACCAGTTTCTTAAACCCTCTGAGCCAAATGCTTCTGTTGTCTGCCTTTTCCTGGCCACCTGTGCCAGCTGTGATGCGGTGGTTTTGAGTCACCCATAGCCACTCCTCTCCAATTTCTTCCCTCTGTGTCCTTAACTTGACTTGTGTCCCTGATTTCTGTCTTCACTCCCTCCCTACCTACTGGGACTCTGGAAAGTTCTATCCATCTGCCTGTTTGAAAACCACAATCAGAATCTGACCTATCCTTTGCTCCTGCCTGGATACTGACCTCACTGGTTCTCCCTCCTGGCTCCTCTCAATGCACCAGCAAGTCCTGTTAAATTAGACCCCAGCCCTCCTCTGCTCATAGCCGCACCCCCCCAGGCTCACATCACACTGGGAATTTGCAGTGTCTCTCCAGAGTCCCTCTTCTGTGTCTACTTCAGCCCAGTGCCCTCACTCCACAGGATCCCTACAGTACCTTCAGAACCAATGCCTCTCCAGAAGTGGGGGAACCTCTGCATACCTTCTGGCTCCCCTGTCCTGACTCTTGATCTAACACAGAAACTCACATTCCCACCGAGAACAGCTCCAGACCCCGAGGCTCAGGAAGAGTGAGCCCTAGTTCTGAGTTCACCGAGGGATGGCCAGTGTAACCACAGCCATCCAGTCAGAGCACTGCCTGCCTAGGGCTGCAGAGATTGCCTCAGTCATGTAACCCAGGCTGGGCCAATAGGAACTGACCTTGGAAATTTGATTGTAACTTAAAAAAAATATTTAATTTTTTAATTTTTAAAAGTTATTTATTTAATGTGTATGAGTGTATTACCTCCATGTCCTACAGTACCTGTGAAGAATGTGTCGGATCCCCTGAAACTGGAGTTATGGGCAGTTGTTAGCCACCATGTGGGTGCTGGGAATCAAACCTAGTCGTCTGCAAGAGGAGCCAATGCTCTTAACCACTGAGCCATCTCTCCAGCTCCAAGATTTTATTTTATCTATCTATTTATTTATTTATTTATTTATTTATTTATTTATTGGTCTTTTTGAGACAGGGTCTCCCTGTAGCCCCAGCTGACCACATGCTATGTAGACCAGGCTGGCCTGGAATTCACAGAGATCTGCCTGCCTCTGTCTCCCAAGTGCTGGGATTAAAGGCGTGCACCACCATACCCAGTAATTTATTTATTTTAATTAAATACTGTGAGACAGAGTCTCGCTACCTAGCCCCAGCTGGCCTGGAATTCTATATAGACCAGGCTGGCCTCAATCCTACAGAGATCCACCTGCTTCCGCCTCCTGATTGCTGGGATTAAAGGTGTGCATCATCACCCCTGGCCTTATTATTTTTAATTATATGTATGTTTGTGTATGTGCATGTTAGTGCAGTGCCCACAGAGGCCAGAGGCATTGGAGCTGGAGATGTGGGTACTGAGGACCAAACTTGTCTGTTCCCAACTGCTGAGCCACCTCTCCAGGCCCTGGACGTAACTCTTTTTTTTAATGTGTACGAGTGTTTTACCTGCATGAATGTAAGTGCACCCCTGTGTAATGTCCAAAAAGGCCAGAAGCTGGGCGTGGTGGCGCACGCCTTTAATCCCAGCACCCAGAAGGCAGAGGTAGGGGGATCTCTGTGAGTTCAAGGCCAGCCTGGTCTACATAGTGAGTTCCAGGACAGCTGGGGCTACAGGGAGACCCTGTCTCAAAAAGACCAAAAAAAAACACCAAAAACCAGAAATGGGTGTTGGGTTCCCTAGAACTGGAGTTACAAACAGTTGTTAGCAATGTGGGTGGGTTAACCATATGGATGTGGGAACTGAACCCGGGTCCTCTGCAAGAACAGCCAGAGCTCTAAACTACTGAGCCATCTCTCCAGCCCTTAGCTATAACTCTCAGGAGACACAGTCCAATTGTGGAGCTAAGCTAACAAGGCTGTCTCTATCCAATAAAGAGAAAGCTGACCCCACAGTGGTCTCCATGGAAATCAACTGACCAATGACTTTAGAGCCTGGATGCAGCTGTTTCTGATGCCAACTCAACCCTCTGTCTCAGTTCTACAGCCAACAAATTTCCTTGTCTGCCTGTGTGGTGGTCATGTGACCAACTCTTCTCAACCATTCTTAAATGTCCTGTAGGTCATGATGGGGATCATCGATGAGGGGCAACTTCAAATCTCTTGTCCTGACCTCCACTGGTAACTTGGAAGCACAGCTGCAGGGCCTGTAAACCTGTGGCTGCCAGCACCCCACCTTCTGCTCCATCCCCCAGGCAGCTCCCCACTCCTGGGGACCCCATGCATGGGGATAGGAGGGAAGGGAAAGTGGGAAGTGAGGGATTGGGTCATCAAAGGTCCATCCAGGTTACCTGTGCTGGACAGGAAGTGATGAGGGACAGGGAGCAGAGGGGCATGGCCCCTGAAGAGGGTCACATTGCCCCTGGCACTGCCCACCCCAGGCAGCCACCCTCTTCATCTCCAATCCCCCCCAGTCACATGCTCAGCCCCCTCCCAGGCTGATGCTCTGCAAGCTCAATCAGGGCCAGACGTGGGGAGCTGGGGACTTAGACGTGATGGTGATGTGAGGCAGACCAAGTCCAAAGCTAGTAAGAAGGGGGAGGGGCTGTGTGGGGCACCCCCACCCCAGGTTTGCTGGCTCCACTGGGAAGGACTGTCAGCCCCACCTGTCCCCCAAGTCACAGATACCCACCCCCACCCCACAAGAGAAGGAGGCTCCCTTGACCCTCAGCTCTGACAGAACATCAGGTGTCCCTGGGGAGAGCTGGAGAGACACTTTTGGATACAGGGGCCTGCTGTTTGTCCAAAGCAGGCAGGAACTTGTGATCCTTCTGCCTCAGCCTCCAAGCACTGGATCACAGGTTTGTGCTGTCAGGCATTCTTGGAAATAGAGTTCTTGACAATCCCCACTTCACAGACGAGAAAAAAGAGCCAGGGAGGTGCCCGCTGCCACACATGCCGAATGGCTGACCCGGGATCTGAGCACAATCTGCTGCCTCCACCCCCCACCCCCTGACTGTTGGGAATGGAAGCCAGGGCCTTGCCAAGTCTTTGGCCTAAGAGGTGTATTTTAGAAGAAAGGACTTGGAATTCCTTCCCCTTCCCTGTGTGGAACCAGCAAGCCTTCCTTCCCCCTTGCTGAGGTGGGGCCAGGCTGGGCCCAGGGGTGGGAGGAAGGATGGGCATCTTACTAGCCGGGTGGGAGGGGCGCAGGCACCAGGCACCACATGTGGGTGGCACCATGTGCAGGTGGCGGGAGGCGCAGGCACGTACCCTTCTCTGGATAAATTTCTTCACTAAGGGTAAACCTAGTCCCCTTTCCACCATGGACTGACCAAGGTGGAGGGGGGGAGGAGGAGGATGGGGAGGAGGGAGCAGTGAGACGAGGGTGGAGGAGTGTGCATGGTGGGGCAGGGGAGGCGCAGAGAGGGGCAGCAAGTGACAGGGAGGAAAAAAAATGAGAGAGAAGGAGAGAGAGGAGAGAAACGTCAGTGCAGACAGACGGACAGACAGACAGCCTCCCGCTCTGGGAACACCAGGAACACCAAAAGCAGCAAGGACAGGAAGGGAAACTGAGGCTTGGGCTCCCCTGCTGTGTCCCAGGATGGATGGTGACCTTCCCCTACTTCAACATGGGACAAAGCCTGAGGCCGTCAGCCTCTGCCTGCCCACACCTTTGGGGGAATTCTGAATGTGGGGACATCCCTGGTGAGGGCACTTGGACCCTAGAGTCCTGCTCTGGGGTCCCAGCTGCTGCATCAAGCTCAGAGAGGGACAGGGACAGAAGCAAGACAGAGAAAGAGAGAAAGAGGTACAACTCCCTCGGCTGCCCACACCACCCTGACTTGCCCCCTTCCTGCTCTTGAACCTGTCAATCACTCCACAGCCCCAGGACATCACGTGCCCCGCCTCTAGGGCTAGAGACATACCCTGGTTCCCTGACATCAGAGGTCTCCCCTGGAGTTGTCAGATGACAGCTTGGTCCTGTCTATCCCTGGCTGTCAATCACTCCTTATTCCTAGACATCACATAAGTCCCGCCCCAGAGCCATCAACCAGGAACCACTCATTGGTCCCTGGACAGCTGAAGTCCCGCCCCTCCATGACAATCACTTGGGTGGTCATAGGAGTTGTCTATCAATTCCTGGTCCCTGCCGTCCTTTGATATCAGAGGCCATCTGTCAGTCAGTGGCCTTGAGGTCAGGCAGCTGGGCAGGGAGGGTGTGTCTTCGGTCCTTACCCTGCGCAGACTGGGTCTGCACGAAGGTCTTGATGAGTAGGTCCGTAGCCTGCGTGTAGAGGGACAAGGCGTAGCGCAGGGACTGCAGGTCCGGGCTCTTCTCCAGGAAAGTCTTCTTAAGGCCCACACCACCCGCGTGGAAGTATTGCTGAGGGACAGGTGGTCAGTGTGAGCCTGCCGGTGCAGCACCCTCTGACTGGCAGTGAGTCTCCTGCCAGCCTCAGGATCTTTGTGCCGACTGTCCCCCTGGTGGAAAGATCTCCCTGCCACTTCCTGTTTGTGGGGATGACCTTTACAACATGGATAGAATTCTGGACAAATGGCTTTTACTGATTCTTACAGTCAAAAGCTCGTTATATCGTAAACAAGTGCACCTGGGCCTTGGGCTACTTTTGGGTCCCAGAGCACACAGCTGCGGTCCCTCATGACCCTTCCTTGGCCGTGACCCAGGACAATGCATGCATGTGTGTGGATGTTTTGTATATTCAAGAAAGCACTGTAGCTAGTGTGGTGGCCATTAGTAGGAAGTGATAGTGCAATGAAGATTATCGAATTTGTGTTGCAAACAATAGATGGGATTAAACTGCTGACATCTGCTTGTGGTTGTGTGGAGGACAGTGGTTAGAGGGACATAATCCTCATACGAGGATCCCACTTTCACTTCCCCATTTCAGGCTGGATATGCTATTTAATAAAAACAAAGAGCGGGCCCTTGTTTGGGAACACAGTTCTGAGAGAATTCTGAAGGAACAGGTCCTCAGCAGTTCAGGTCTGCACTTGTCTTTAAAACAGATGCTAGGAGTCAGCCCGCTTTTTAATTCAGGGATAGCCATGATGTGGCATCATGTAGTAAACTGCACCTGTTTCCAGACCGAACGTTTAAGCACCCTCAAACCTGCGTCCTCATGCCCTCTGTGTTCAAGCCCTCTGGTACATCTTACCTTGATGGTGTCCAAGGCCAGTTCAACCACAGCACACTGCTTTGGGGTTAGGCTCTTGGCTTCCTCTCGTACCATATGGTCCTATACAGATGGCAGGGAGAGGTCAGCTGGGCAAAGCTGAGTCCAACTCAAGGTCTGTGAGTCTTGACCTGCCGTTGTCCGAGCACATCACAGGCACACAGCAGCATGCCGTACACAGTTGATCGGTACCCTTGATCAAGCTGAACATGAACACATGTCTTTCCAAAACATTTAAGGATGTTTGTGATGGTGCTCATGTTTGTGAACAGGGTCTGTCTCCTGACCTGTCCCTAGGAAACCTCCCCCATGATCTCTTGCCCCTCACCTTGAGCTTGGAGAGCTGGCCCAGCTCCTTGGCGGCATTGAAGATCATTTGTGTTCCCTGTGGGAAACAGCAGACATACAGGGTGAGGGCCCATGCCTCTGAACAGTTCCCCCACCCAGCCCTGTATGCCATCTTGGTTCCTGGCCAAAGGTTCCAGGTAACACTTGGGTCTCAGGGACAGTGTGTCAGTAGCCCCCTGTGAACCCCTGGAGATCCCATTCCATAGGCTACTACCCACTCGCTTTCCCCCACCATGACCCCACAATTGGGAGACAGGAGAAAAGGGCAGGGAAGAGGTTGTAGGGTGTGATGAGGGGGACCAAAGATGGGCTTGTTTGTGGCAATGGGCTCTGAAGTTAGGGAGCTTTAGGAGAGCCATAGGCCAGGCTGGGCTTTGGGGATCCCTCCCCAACAGCCAACCCTCTATGGGGACATCACTCTAAGCTTTACAAAGACTACTCCCCAAACACTGGCCTCTGCCCACATTCCCCATCTCTGCCACATGTCCCGAAGATGCCAGCATGGCTATGGCTCTGACAAGCCAGGCAGGCCCTGTCGTGTGACTGGGGCAAATAATTCAATCTCTCTGAGCCTCAGTTTCCCCTGTAGATGGGGAGTCAACCCTGTGGCTTTGAAGGAACACAGTGTATCTTTGGTCCTATTCACTGTCATCCAGTTTTACTCACAGAGTCACAGGCAATATCAGTGTAGACAGGGTCCCAGCCTGAGAGCCCCATGTCAGGGTTCAGCCCACTTCTGAGCTGGGTGACCTCAGGTGGTGCCCTGCCCCTCTCTGGGCTTCAAGTCGTCTCTCCTAGGCTAACAAGAGTACCCTAGCAGCTTGGGGAGGGGAGGGCTGTGTTAGGTACCCTGGTGGGGCTGGGTGGGACATTTACGGCTGTGGTACGTGGAAACTGCTACTGTTAGTGTCACCCTCTGGCTCTCATTATTACTATTTATTAGTTGTATTTACTAGTGCTGGGAATGGAACCCAGCCCCAGTGCATGCTCGGCCAGTGCTCTACCACTGTGCCACACTGCCTACTCCCCCAAGCCCCATATTCCCAAGAGTCCCTGAAGCTGTGAGTTGGAGGTACCTAGAGTCCAGTGGTATGGGCCTCAGTTTCCCTTGCTGCACCCACCTGTGTTTCAGTGGGGAGCAGGGCGCTCTTAGGCCCCCTCCACACTCCACTGCCCCCCTCATTCCCGCCACCCACGAGCAAGCCAGACAGACAGAGGAAGAAGAAATAACAAACAGGGCCACAAGACGCCCCCGACGCACAGACCACATAGTAGGAGGGGCAGGGGCAGGTGAAGGGTGGGGTGGGAGCCAGACAGACAGCGAGAGACCGGGCTTACGTCTGAGTGGCTTGGCAGTTTCACCCTGCCCTGTGGAGAGAACCAGGTGGAGGTCAGAGTTCCGGTGGCTACTGGGAGGATGCTCAGTGGGACTTCCCTGCCTCATTGAATCACATTGTGAGCTCCCGCCCCGTTCCTGGGTCTCACAGCGGCCTCCTCCCCAGCTAAGGCACCTTCCCTAGTCTCCAAGTGGGAGCTTGAGACTGGACTCTGAGGGTGCACAGAAGGCTGCCACCCTGACAGCAGATGCCTTGGGGGACAGGGCTCCAGGTCTGTCCCCCCCACACCTCAAGCCCTCCTTGGGGAGGTCTGACTACAGAAAACAAACTAAGTCCTACAAGTTCCTTCAGCATCTATACACCCGGCCACATTCTCAGCATGCAGAGGCTTTCTACACACTTAGTTATCAAAAGGCAGCTCACGCCTGCAGGGAGCCTCACAGTCCAGAACGCCCAAACAAACCCACACGCTCCACTCCACAAGACGGCCACACGCAGCTCCTGAAAGGCTGGCTGGGGAGCGGTTACACCCTAGACCCCACATTCATTTAGTACATGGACAGGCATGGTCTGTTCTGTGGGTGTGCACAAAGCATCTGCTCACACACTGCCAGGCTCCCATCTCCTTACAACAAACACCCATCAGAACAAAGGAACTGCAAAAAAAATCTCAGTGAGGGCCACAGAGCATCGCTGAGCCAAGGCTGAAGGAGCCCCTGGGAGCTGCCGGGAGGGGTGGAGCTGTGCACACATCTCTGTTCGAAGGCAAATGCACTCACACATGCAGGTTGCACTCCCGACTCTGATGAACGACCTAAACTCTGGCTTCTGTCCCATGGGGTGTGATTACCAGCCACCTCCCACTGAGGCCCCAGCCGACCTTCCTACCCGGGCACACAGCACAGGTCACTCTCACAGACACTCACAACTCAGCTCGAAAGCCAGGCCTTCATTACCTTTTCTAGGCCCTTGCCATGTTTTCTCAAGAGAGTACCCTGCAGAGACAATGTCACAGGGAGTCAACGGCCCAGTCTTGCAGAGCAGAACCCTGTCACACATGCATGCGAAGGGACAGGGTGGCTGCACTGGCTAGGGGCTGGTGACTCTGGGACTGCAGAGGCCCCAATGGCTTGCTCTTGAAAGAGAGAAGGGGAAGGAAAGAGACAGGAACTAGGAGGATGAGGCGAGGGGAGGAGGGACAGGAGAGGATGATACAAGGGAGAGGGGAAGGGAGAAGGACAGGGAAATGGAGGAAGGAGCAGGAGGAGGGAGATGGAGGACTGAGAGGGAAGATGCTGAGGGAGGAGGAGGAAAGAGGAGGAGGGAGGAAAGGGAGGGAGGAGGAGGTAGGAGGGGAGGAGGGGAAGGGAGGGAGGATTTGGGAAGAGGGAGGAGGAGGGAGAGAAGTAGGGAGAAGGTATGAGGAAGGGGAATAGGAGGAGGAGGAGGAAGAGAGGGAAGAAAAAGGAGGACGGGGGGAGGGGGAAGAGAAAGGAGGAAGAGGAGGAAAGAGCCAGAACTAGAGAGAGCCAAGATAAAAGTCACTGCCAAAATCTAACCCATTGACATTTAGTGTACAAAGGCAGCTGCTGGATCCAGAGAGCAGAAGTGCTCTGGCTCCATGCCTAGACAGACGTGAACCTGAGCCCTGTCTCTGGCACATACACATGGCCCTGAGCTGGATGGTTTATCTCTGATCCTCAGCGTTCCTCATCTACAGTGGGAAGATCAACCCTTTGTCACTCAAAGCTTGCCATGAAGATGAGCTGAAGCAGCAGTTACCACAAGCAGCAGGCCTGTTGGAAGCCATCAGCAAATGAGAGTTCTCTTATGATTCTGCTCACAAGTGGCACACTACTACCAGGCGGTTACAAGACCCAGGCTGTACCACTGAGAAAATGGCACCTGTGAGCTTTGGACACAGTAAAGTGTCTGGCAGTCCAACCTGGCCCACCCACAAAGAGGGCTGGAGGGTGGGATTGGTTTCCTGAGGTGGCTGTGTTCTCCCTTATCCATGTCTGCAGACACAGGTCACTGGGGTGAGTGAATGCATCATCAGCTTTGATTTCTGGTAACTCAGAGTTCCTGCATGGAGCTGTACTTTCCATGCTAGGGAATGGAGGCCAGGAGGTGAGGTGATTAACCTGGGGCACAGAGCAGCTAGGCCAGGAGGTGACCCCCATCCCCACCAGACAGCCACCTGTCTTCTGTCAGTATATGCTGGGAACAGAGGGGTAATGTAGTGCTTGGACATGAGGAGGTCAAGGGTGGGGCCTGTATTAGGTCTATGAAAGTCAGCTCATAGTATGGCAGAGCCTGCATGATGTGGGCACGGGCCTTACTTCCTGTCTCTTTCTAGCTCTGGGAAACCACGGTGCCCTGGTGGCCTCTGAGAGAGGGTGGTTTCTGATCAAGGGATGGACATGATAGGGGGTCTGTTGAAATCACTGCCCCCACTGATTGGTTTGGAAGGAGGTGTGGCTGGTGGGTATAGCCTTCTGCCCCCTCCCGATGCCCGCCCCCAACAAACATAGATACATAGAGGTGAGGACGCACGATGAGGGGAGGGACTGGCGGGGGAGGAGGACGCGCTGGGAGGGGTGGGGACAGCTCCCATCCAGACACACAGTGAACGACGGACAGACAGACAGACACCCGGGTCTCTACTTACAATCATCTGCCAGCCAGGATAGGGACAGGGCAGGGAGGGGGGAATAAGTCACTGTGAGTGGCCCTAGAAGGGCTGGGCACAGGCGGAGAGGACACTGAGGCACTGACCCCCATGCTCTGGCCCTGCCTAGGGGACTGTCCCCACCTCCTTGACACGATCACTTTGCTGAGGCTTCTGCACCCTCCCTGACCCCTGCAGCCGCCCAGGGTTGTCCTGCAGCCTGTGCTGGGCCCTCAGTCTGTGTCATCAACAGTGTAATTCCCCCTAGGGGACACAGGCCTAGCCCTGCCCTGAATGTCTCCCAGCTGTCATACAGGGAGCTGGGTGGACATGAGGCTCAAGATAGCTATGTCCTCTGACCTTCCATGGCACCCTGGAAGTGGAATGGCTCTGCTCACCCCTAGATACACCCTGGACCCCTGTGTTGGTGTCTCGAGCTCCCAACCCCAGATTGGAGGCACCAAGTTCCCTGGGCTTCCCCCACGAGGTGGCCACAAGTCCGGGGCCGGGCCTTACCGTCTGGTCTGTGAGTGGTGGCAGGACAATGGTCCTCTCCATGGTGTTCATCACCAGCTTCCACAGCTCCTTCAGCACACGCTTTAGAACTGTCTTCTCACAGATTTTGGCGAAAAGGGTGAGGCTGGGGGTGAGACAAGCGGTCAGTACAGAGAACAGCAACCCATCCATCCACCCACCCACCCACCCATCCATTCAACAGAGACCCAGAGCCCAGCAGATCAGTATTTGGAATATAGGCTTACCCATCCATCCATCCTTCCATCCATCCACCCATTTACCCATCCATCCATCCATTCATCCTTATATCGGTCCTCCATTCACCCATCCATCCATCCATCTATCCATCCACCTACCCAACCACCCATTCATTCATCCCTTACATCTGTCCATCCATCTATCAGTCCACACATCCATCCACCCACCCATCCATTCAGCCATCCACCCACACATCCATCCACCCACCCATCCATTCAGCCATCCAACCACACATCCACTCAACCACCCATCCACCCATCCAACCATTCATCTGTATGTCTTTCCATCCACTCATCCATCAGTCCAACCACCCACACATCTATCCACCCACACATTCACCCATCCATCCATTCATCTGTATGTCTGTTCATCCATTCATCCATCAATCCATCCATGCCTGCCCCTTCATATATCCAGTCCTTCCCACCGTCTTCCTGTTCAGGAATGGAAATCCCCACCCTCCAGTATCCACACTGAATCTTCAGCCCCTCACTTGCTGTCCAGGAGGTCCATGATAGGCTGCAGCACGTTGTCAGCATCCTGGGCCACGCTGCTGCATGCACTGGCCGGCACGTTGCCTGTGCCCTTCACCTGGCTCAGGATATCTCCCATCTGTTTGACACATTCCTCAATGTGCGGCTGGAAGCTGTGGGCACAGGGGGAGGGGTAAGCCAGGCTCTGCGATCCAGAGGGTGAGGCCACCCACTCAGCTTGCATCTGGGTTTCCTGTCCCCAGCACAGGAAGCAATGGTATCAGCCTGAGCCAAGTTGGGGAACACTAACAGTTTTACTGGAGCCTCACCTGAGACTCCCCATGAGGGTCAGTTCAGTCCCAGAATCCTCCACAGGTGCTGTTAACACCATCCTACTTCCAAGGTAAATATAGAGACCGAGAGAGGTGAAATGACTCACCAGAGCCCACACAGCTGGGGAGAGGGGAAGCCAGGATTTGGACATAGCACATCTAACAGAGTCGGGTCTTTGCACCTGGTGAGTGTGAGTTCCTCGAGCTTGGGGGCCAGGGCTGTCCTGGCTCAGTTGCACCCGCCCTGATGCCCCTACCCTGCCCCCACTGTGTGCCCCCAACGCATGCCCCACCTGGTGGCAAACACACGGCTCAGGTCATCCAAGACGCTGTTGAGCTTCACCTGCAGCTCCTTCAGGATGTCACTGGCCTCGGCATCCAGCTGAGGGAGGGAGGGCACCAGTAACTGAGAGTCACATTTGCTTAAGTGTCCTTGTGAAGGGATCTGAGGGGCTGAGGAGGAAACTGAGACACAGACATCCCAGCTGTCCCAGGAGGTCTACAGAGGCCATGGGCTGCAGTTCATGCCCAGAAAGCCTGGGGAACCACAGGGATGTGTATGGCACTGGGGTGAACCTGTGGCAGCCTCCTCCGCCCTCACCTCTTTCCCGCCCATCGCCTCGAACATCTTCTCGAGTTGCACCCGCAGCTGCTGCGTGTTGTTCATGAGGATGCAGGGCTGTGGAGAGCAGGGGGTCAGGCTGCCCTGCCACCAGGGGCCTCTCAGGGATGGGGTCTGCCCAGGACTTGGGTCCCCAGGGTCACCTTGACATGGGCAATAATAGCTTAGACTACCCATGACCTGCAGAGGGGTCCCTGGGGCAGAAGGGAGTGTTCTTTAGGAGCTCTCCTGGGGAAGAACACCCCCACCCCAGGGTAGACACACAGTCTACTCAGACACTCAGGCTCTGACAGATGATACATGCTCGTGCTACAGTTCTCAACACAGCTGTATAAAACAAGACAGGTAGGCATGGAGGCACATGCCTGTCACTCCAGCCTTAGACTGTCACTCCAGTCTTAGGAGGAGAAGATGGATTTGGTTCAAGGCCAAACTGGGCTACACTGCAAGTTTGTGGCTAATGTGGGCTACATGTAAGTTCCAGGCCAGCCTGAGCACCATGACACATTGTCTCAAAAACCCAACCAATTGGGGTTGGACTCAGCAGTTAAGAGCACTGGCTGCTCTTGCAGAGGACCTGGGTTCATTTCCCAGCACCCACATGGTGGCTAATAACTGTCTGTAACTCTAGTTCCAGGGGATCCAATACCCTCTTCTGGCCTCTGTGGGCACTCCACTATATGATTCACTTACATACATGCAGGCAAAATAGTCATAGACATAAAAAAATTAAAAAACCCAACCAAGCAGCCGGGAACAACAAAGAATCCCACAATCCTACACACACACACACACACACACACACACACACACACACTCACACTCACATTCACACAATGTGCACACAATCACACAAGTGCCTGCAGATCCACTTCTCAGCAGGGTTCTTCCTCCAAGCCTGGACACCCAGAGTCAGGTGTCAGAGACTGGGGGGGGGGCAGGGCCACTGGGGGGCAGGGCAGGGCCATTGGGGGGCAGGGAAGTTTCACTGGGGGGCAGGGCCACGGGTCACTGAGGGGCAGGGCAGGGTCACCACGTTCTCCTTCTCCCTGGAGCAGTAGGAGGCGAAGGCCTTGGAGATGATGTCCGCGTACTGCAGGAGCACGTTGCTGATGGTCTGAGGACAGAGACAGGGTTGAACAGGGGGCAGAGGTCTGCAGGACACCAGCCACCACATCCAAGAGGCCCTGGCTACAGACATCATGGGTGAAGTTGCGCTGTGCAGTGTGTAGGGCAGACATCAGGCTGGGCGGATTATCCACCCAGGACAACCAACAGGAAACAGGGAACAGCCCACAGATGACACTGTTAGACACTGTCAATCCCTGTAGACCTAGTTCTTTTTCTTTTCAACAAGATTTTGCTGTGTAGTCCAGGCTGGCCCCTGCCTCCCCCAGTGCCAGAGGAGGCAGCATGTCCTACTCCCTTCTGGAGGAACCAACCCTAGTGTCACAGCAGGAACTGATTTTGAGCTGTAGCCCAACGGTAGCCTTTAATTCCTAGCTAAACCACCATCCTGATGAACTCCAGCTCTACCAGAGACAGCAAACCCACAATGCCAGGTGACTACATGAATCTCAGCCCCTGAGCTAATTCAGTCCCAACTCAGAACTTCATGGTTTCTTGGCATCTGAATTTTACATTTGCCTACTTTTGTTTACTTTTGTTTTCTGTTTACTTTGGTTTTTGTGGCACAGGGAACAAATCCCAAGGTGTCGTGCTGCTAGGTGGGTGCTCTACCACTGAGCTGCACCCAGGCTCTCAACTCCTACCTCCCCACCTTAAAATCTTCATTTACTTTTTTGTGTTTGTGTGGTGTGTGTGGATGTCAGAGGACAGCTTGTGGGACTCGGTTCTCTCCTTCCATCATGTGGGCTCCAAGTATCCACTTCAGGTTATCAAGTTTGCCGCAGGGCCCTTCCACTCCGAGCCCCTTGCCCACCTCCCTCAGCTTTTTTTTTTTTTCCTAGTTATACAGCAGCTGTTTTTCTGACCTGCCCAGTTCTGTCCTTTCTTTTCTTTTTCTTTCTTTTTTTGAAACAGAGTCTACCCGTAGCTCCAGCTGGCCTGGAACTCACTATGTAGCAAACCCACAATGCCAGGTGACTACATGAATCTCAGCCCCTGAGCTAATTCAGTCCCAACTCAGAACTTCATGGTTTCTTGGCATCTGAATTTTACATTTGCCTACTTTTGTTTACTTTTGTTTTCTGTTTACTTTGGTTTTTGTGGCACAGGGAACAAATCCCAAGGTGTCGTGCTGCTAGGTGGGTGCTCTACCACTGAGCTGCACCCAGGCTCTCAACTCCTACCTCCCCACCTTAAAATCTTCATTTACTTTTTTGTGTTTGTGTGGTGTGTGTGGATGTCAGAGGACAGCTTGTGGGACTCGGTTCTCTCCTTCCATCATGTGGGCTCCAAGTATCCACTTCAGGTTATCAAGTTTGCCGCAGGGCCCTTCCACTCCGAGCCCCTTGCCCACCTCCCTCAGCTTTTTTTTTTTTTCCTAGTTATACAGCAGCTGTTTTTCTGACCTGCCCAGTTCTGTCCTTTCTTTTCTTTTTCTTTCTTTTTTTGAAACAGAGTCTACCCGTAGCTCCAGCTGGCCTGGAACTCACTATGTAGACCAGGCTGGCCTCAAACTCACAGAGATCCACCTGCCTCTGCTTCCAGAGTGTTGGGATTAAAGGTGTGGGCCACCACTCCCAGCTAGCTGTCTTTCTGAGTTTTTGTAGTGCTGGGGTTGGAAGCTAGGCCTCAGGCATACCATGCAAGTGCTCCCCAACTCCCACATCACTACCCACTCTTGACCCCCCACACCCCGCCTGCACCATCTCCCGCCCACCCTTGCAGGTGTCACCTTGGCAAAGCGCCGCATGTAGTGGCCAACAATCTGGGGGTCGGGGCACTCCAGCTTCTTGATGATCTCAAAGCTCTGGTTGAGCTGGGAAAAGACGTCCACCACCGAGCAGGAGAACAGCGCATGCTCTGAGGTCTGCTGGAACTGTGTGGAGACAGCAGTAGGGTCACATGGACGCTGTTTAGGGTCACCCTCCGGGGTGGGTAGAGGGGTTGAACAGTGACTGAGAACCCTTGAGCAGGACCTGAGGGAGCCTGACAACAAGGTCCCTGTGGCCAGTTGGGAGCTGGTCACGTGCAACCCCCTTACCCCATCCTTCTTGTCTCGCTCGAGGGCGCCATGCAGGAAGTCCCGGGACACCTCCTCATTCTCATCCAGCCATTGGATGACGAAGGGTTCAAACCACCTGTGAGGGATAGCTGCTGCGATGCTGGGCAGGGACACCGTGCACTTACCCCACCCTGTCTGGTACTGGTGTGTAGGCCTGTCATCCCCAAACTCAGGAGGTGGGGCCCTGAGTCCTCCTCCACTGCTGGTCAGTGACTTCAGTTTGGTTGGTGTAAGGAGCCTTTTTAATGTATTTATTTACAGATGGGCTTTCATGTAGCCCAGACTACCCTTGAACTCATTGTGTAGCTAAGGATGACCTTGAAGAGGGAGGAGGAGAGGGAGCAGGAGGAGGAGGGAGAAAGAAAGAGAAGGAGGGATTGAGGAAGAAAGAGGGAGGAGAAAGAGGAGGGAGGAGGAAATTAAGGGAGGAGGAAGCAGAAGGGCAGAAGACAGGAGGAGGAGGAGAAAAGAGGGAGCACTCAGCCATAGCAGATTGAAAATAACTCAAAGCACAGCATCTGTCTGAACATTCACGCTTGCTTCCTGTGTCGCTCCCTGAACTGCACAGCCTCCCCAGAGCTCCTGAGACATTGGGCTGTGCTATCTAGAACAGATTTAAAGTTTGCAGAGGCCATGTAAAAGGTCTGTATCAACACCTTGCTTCCCCACAGTGAGGACAGGAGCGGCAGGGGTTTGGGACCTGGCACCTGCCGGCCTGATGGCTCCCAGGTCTTCTGTTTACATAACCATCCCTGTTCCTTCCTGGTTTCAGCCTGGCAGGCTAGGCACTTACGCAGGGTACTCAGGCACGCGGTCCTTGCAGGCAGGTAACTCAGCCACATACTCATTGTAGAGCCATTTGACCTTAAAGTGCAGGTTCATGTAGTCCGCACTCTTGCACAGTCGGTGCTTGTCGTGCTCTGGCAGGAAAGGACAGCGGCTCAGGGGGAGGCTGGTGGCCTTGGTTGCCATAGTGGCGGCGGCTGCTGCACCAGGCAAGTCGGCACTCACCCTCCATGGCGTACTTCATATCCTGAGCAAACAGACTCCACATGACCTCAGCACTGATCTTTCCCACATTCAGCTCTTGGGGAAACCTGGGAAAGGACAAGGGAGCCTGGAGTGGATGGGTGAGGAGGCGTTGACCCTCCCACTGCAGGCACGGCATGGGCAGGGCACCAGGTCTGCATGCCCAAAGGCCGGGCTTCTCCTTCAGCCTCCACCCACCAACACATCCACCTGTCACTTACACTAACCGAGCTACCTATCAATCAACTCAGTCATCCATCCACCTGCTCATCCTTCCATCAGTCCACCCATCCATCTATCCATCAGTTCATCCTATCCATCGTCTGTCCATCCAGCCATCCACCCATCCATCCCTCATTCCATCCATACAAATCCCTGGTCTTAATTCTACACCTGAATAGAAATGACGTGTTGAGGCGACACATTTAGGGTCTCTCCCCATCCCAGCGCTCACTTTGGAAAGAAACCCACTCAAGTGTCCCCTTCAGCTACCCAATGACATTTCACCCAGACATCCATACACACACGAACTTTGCCAGGTTCCCACACTCACATACTGCACAATGCTACATGGTTTGTGATTCTGGAATGGGAACACAGAATCCATGTTGCTCAGGATGCCCTCAAACTCCTGGAATCAACTGATCCTCCTGCCTTGGCCTCGTGAGTAGCTGAGACCACAGGTGTACACCTCTGAGCCTCACTACAACATTCTGCATTAAAGTTCATTCACAAGATCGGTGAGGTGGTTCCGTGGATAAAGGCACTTGCCAAGGCTAACAACCTGAACTGGATGCCCAAAACCTACAAGTGGAAGGAGAGAACTGATGCCTGCAAGTTGACCTCTGACCTCCATATGCATGCTGTGACACACACACACTAAATAAAATTATAATTAAAATCCACTTGTTTACTTATTGTGTATAAGTGTTCTGTCATGGAGGTCAGAAGAGGGTGTTGGATTCTCTGGAACTGGAACTAAGGACAGTTCCTAGCCGACATGTGGGTGCTGGGAATCAAACCTGGGTCCTCTGCAAGAGCAGCCAGTGCTCTTTACTGCTGAGCATCTCTCCAGCCCAAAAAATTTAAATTAAAAAAAAAATAAAGTTTGCTGGGCGTGGTGGTGCACATCTGTAATCCCAGCACTCAGGAGGCAGAGGCAGGCAGATCTCTGTGAGTTCAAGGCCAGCCTGGTCTACAAGGTGAGTTCCAGGACAGCTGGGGCTACAGGGAGACCCTGTCTCAAAAACACCAGAAAAAAAAAAGTTCATTCCAGTCCCCCCCCCTTACACACACACACACACACACACACACACACACACACACACACACAATTAAACTCATATAATCAAACTGAAAATCCCATAGCTGGGTCTGAGGGCTCAGGCTTGGCATCTTAGCTAATAAGTAATAAGGAGACTCAGCAGGAAAATCTGAAGTTGAGGGTCAATCTGGGCTACAGAGTGAGTTCAAGGGCAGCCTGCGAGACTTATGGAGACCTTGTTAAAATAAAAAGTATAAGCCAGGCATGGTGGCGCATGCCTTTAGTCCCAGCACTCGGGAGGCAGAGTATAAAGGTATTACAAGGGCTAACTCCACGCACACACACTCTGCAGTCAGATGGCTCATCTGCACCCAGCTCACAGCTGTGCATGCTGCCATGACCAGGGCACCTATGTGGTGGTGGCCATGGAACTCACTGATTGAGGCAAGGTGTGTAGGAGTTCTTGTCCTCCTCAATGATCGACACGATGAGGGTGATCAGCTTGGACCAGAAGTCCAGGTTCTTGATGCTGGGACCCTGCTCCTCAGGGGGCACCTCCCCTTTTTTGGCCTGAAAGGTACAGAGGACATGAAAGGGGTTCAGAGAACCTGAGACTGGGGCCTAGGGCATAGCACATGCATAGTACCAGCAAGACCACAGAACCCAAGTCCAGCACACAAAGAAGCAAAACAAAACAACAAAAGCCAAGCGTGGTGGGCACGCCTGTCATCCCAGCACTTGGGAGGCACAGCTCAGAGGACAACTCTCGGGAGTCAGTTCTCTCCTTCCACCATGTGGGTATCAGGGATTTAACTCAGGTTGTCGGGCTTGGTGGCAAGGGCCTTTACCTGATGAACCATCTCACTGGCCTTGACATTCAGTTTTTAAATGGAGAGATGGCTCAGCAGTTAAGAGTACTGACTGCTCTTGCAGAGAACCCAGGTTTGATTCTCAGCACCCACATGGTGGCTAACAACCATCTGTAACTCCAGTTCTGGGGGACTCCGACGCATTCTTCTGACCTCCGTCGGCATTGCACGACATGGGTGCACTCACAGACATGCAGGCAATACACTCATATACATAAAATAAAAATAGTAAATAAAAAAAATTTTTTGGTCTTTTTGAGACAGGGTCTCCCTGTAGCCCCAGCTGTCCTGGAACTCACTATGTAGACCAGGCTGGCCTTGAACTCACAAAGATCTGCCTGCCTCTGCCTCCCAAGTACTGGGATTACAGGCATGTGCCACCACGCTCGGCCAATATATTTTTTTAATATTTATTATTTTTATTTTATGTGTATGAGTGTTTTGCCAGCAGGTATATAAGTGCACCACCTGTGTGCAATTTCTGAAGAGGCCAGAAGAGGGTGTTGGATTCCCTGGAACTGGAGTTACAGACAGACGGTTGTTAGCAGCCATGTGGGTGCTGGGAATTGAACCTGGGTCCTGTGGAAGAACAGCAAGTGTTCTTACCCACTGAGCCATCTCTCTAGGCCCAGGCTTCAACATTTCTTGGTTGTTTTTGTTTGTTTTTTGTTTTTTATTTTTGAGACAAAGTCTCACTATGTAGCCCCAGCTGACCTGGAACTCACTATGTAGACCAAGTTGGCCTTGAACTCACAGAGATCTGTCTGCCTCTGCCTACCAAGTGCTGGGATTAGAGGCGTGTGCCACCACTCCTAGTTCCTCAACATTTCTTAAATAGAGACTATACTAATCACAGTGTTTTATTCCAAACTCTATTCAGCAACCACATTCATGAATACCTGCTATCCAACCCTAAGCACTCCACTGGATGTTAGCAAATGCTCTTTTCTTATTAAAATCTTTCCCCAGTCTCGACATGTGGCTCACGACCCTATTTTCTGGAAGAAACTACTGAAGGGCTCAGAGACATTCAATCCCCCTTCAAAGATGCAGCAGAGCAGGCTGGGGCCTACTTGTCTGGGTGCACCCTGAGGCCTTACCGGGTCTGTTTGGTATTCGCGGCTGTAGAGCTCATGACAGTTGTTGAAGATATATTCATAGGTGGAGTTGAGGCACGCCTTCACGCAGTCCTTTACCACCTGGCTGGCACGGGGTGGGCTCTGGAGCTCTTGAACCTAAAGACAGAGGCCAGGTGGGCATGGCCAGGCAGTGACACCCAGAAAGGGTATGAGTTGCTGTCTACTCATTTTTTTCACAATTTTCTTGTTTTTAAAAAATTACGTGTGTGTGTGTGTGTGTGTGTGTGTGTGTGTGTGTGTGCAAATGTGGAAGCCAGAGGACAATTTATGGGCATTGATCTCTCCTTCTACCACGAGGGTCCCCAGAACTGTACTCAGGTCATCAGGCTTGGCAGCAAGCGCCTTATCTGCTGAGCGATCTCACTGGCCCTACTGTGTGTTTGAAGTGTCAGAGTGGAAAGGCCAAACTGAAAACCACACCAAGCCCTCACCGCTGTGGTGAGAATGGCTGAGGCCATGAGTGCTAGGAGGAGGTGGCAGGAGACCCACCTTCATCCGGAAGAAGGTGATGCTGGTGAGGAGGTCCACCGTGGACTTAAGGTCCTGCAGCCGCTCCGGGCTGCTAGCTGGGAAGTTGTTCTGTTGGAACCAAGGTGGGATTACGAGAGAAACAAGGGGACCATGGGAGATGGCATTTGGGGAGGATGTGATGGTCCCCCAGTTTCAGCTGGGGCCTGTGGAGAGCAAGCTGGGGCAGGGGCCGCTCCCATGGGGACGCAGTGCCAGGCTGAGATAAGTCCTTTGGGCCCTCTCTTCTGGGTGACTGTCCCCGCAGGCATGTAGGGCAGACTCAGGAGCCAGAGCTTCTCACCCGGTACATGGACAGGTCGATCCGCAGGGAATTGTGTAGCTGGTCCAGAAGTTTCACAAAGCGCTCTTTCTAAGGGGAAGATGGGATAGGCTGGAGGGGGCTAGGGGTCATATGACACTGCTAAGCATGGGTGGCTAAACTGGTTGAGTACTCCCTACTCACCAAGCATCATCACTGAACTGAACCCCCACATCATTCTTTCTTTTTAACATAGGTCTCACTCTGTAGCCCAGCCTGTCCTGGAACTGGAGCTCCTTCTGCCTCAGCCTCCTGAGTACTGAGATGACAGGTATATGCCACCATATACCTGTCTTCGTGGTGCTGGGGATGGAACCTGGAGTCTTCTGCATGCTAAGTAAGCACTCTGCCCACTGAGCTGTGGCACTCTACAAATTAAGCTATAAGCACTCTTTCTACTGAGCTACAAACTCTCCACTCACTGAACTACATACAGCCCCAGACCCAGTGGACTCTTTTAACATTCATTTCCATTCTACAGACGAGCAAGCTGAGGCTCACATACAGGCAGACACTGGGGCAGAGCCACACAGCAAGTGTGGTTAAAGACTGAAGAGGTCTGGGCTCCCCTCTTTGTGCAGCCCCAGACCCTAAGACTGACCCCGAAGTTGGAGGCGGCGAAGCGGTCAGAGGCAGACACGTTGGTGGAGGCGGTGGTGTGTGCGTAGTAGGCGTTGATGTTGGCGAGCAGGGTGCTCATGACGGCGGGCACCCCAGGGCACATGTACTTGGAGGAGAGGCAGGCGAAGTGGCTAGTGGGAGAGAGTAGGAGGCACTGGGTCTAGGGACAGGACCACCGAGGTCTCCCAGAATGCTAGAGAGTCTCTGGGGCTCAGTCCCTTGTCCCAGACTGTCTGCTCCCTCTTCATGGTTGTGTCCTCTGGGTTCTATGTAACTCCTGTCGCTTTTCTTCTCTTTTAGTTTATTTTTCAAACTTTTTTGTTTATTTTTTGGTTTTTTGAAACAGTGTTCCTGTGGCCCTAACTGGCCTGGAACTCCCTATGGAGACCAGGCTGGCCTCAATCTCAGAGATCCACCTGCCTCTGCCTCCCATGTACTGAAATTAAAGGTGCCACCATGCCCAGCTTTTTTTTTTTAACTTATAAAAAAGTCTTTATTTTTATGTGTATGAGTGTTCTGCCTGCATGTGTGTAAGTGCACCAGTGTCTTGCAATGTCCTGCCTGTGGAGGCCAGAGGAAGGCATTGGATCCCTTGGAACTGGAGTTACAGACAGTTGTAGCCACTGTGTGGGTGCTGGGAACTAAACCTGGGTCCTCTGGAAGAGTACCTAGTGCTCTTAACCTCTGAGCTAGCTCTTCAACCTCCTTTAATTATTTTTTTTTAACAAAGTTTGAGGCTGGCCTCAAACTTAGAATGTAGCCAAGGATGATCTTGAACTCCTGATCCTCTTGCCTCAGCCTTGAGCTCAGGGGTCACAAAGTGTGCTACTATGCCTGCTCCATCTCCATCTTTCTGACTGTCTAAGATGCCAGATTTTTACCTCTAACTGGCTCTCTGTCCCTGTTCCCCATCTGCCAATAGTGGCACCCTGGTAACCTCCAGGAAACTGCAAAACTCCTCTTGGAGACCCCTCCGCTCTGAAGATCTGCCACTGCTGCCTGAGGACCCAGCTGCCCAGCTACCCACTCACGTCATGGCTTGGTAGATGGACTCCACGCCATAGCGCATGGCGAACTCATCCACAATCTCTTGGGCTGTCTCATCGTAGTAAACCTTCCAGGCGTCATCGCCCTTGGCATCAGGGATCTTCACCACACCGTTGTTCTGCACATCTGTCACAAAGTGGAACAGGTTCTGCAATACCAAGAGACACAGCATCAAGAATGAGGACGGGACCAAGGAGGGAAGTGGCAGCTCCTTGTCCACCCTTCCAAGCATTCTTCACCTACTGCACCCAGTCATCAGACTATCCAGGTTTCTCCTGTTCACTCATCCATCCTCGACAATCCACTCACCCACCCATCCACTGAACCATTCATCCATCTAATTGTTTATCCAAACATCCATCTACCTATCCACCCTTGCAACCATCTATCTATCCATCCATTTGTCCACCCATCCACCCACCCATCTACCCATTCACCCATCTACCCATCAATCCATCTACCCATCCACCCACCAATCTGTCCACCTGTCCACTCATCTACCGATTTATCCATTTGTCCACCCATCCACCCACCCATCTACCCATTCACCCATCCACCCATCTATCCATCTACCCATCCACCCACCAATCTGTCCACCTGTCCACTCATCTACCGATTCATCCATTTGTCCACCCATCCACCCACCCATCTACCCATTTACCCATCCACCCATCTATCCATCTACCCATCCACCCACCAATCTGTCCATCTGTCCACTCATCTACCCATTCATCCATCCACCCACTCATCCATCTACCAATCTGTTTATCCATTGATCTAATCTATCCATCGATCCATCCATCCCACATATCTATTTACCCACTGTGTACTTTTCCATGTATCACATTCACTCATCTATAGTCTAAAGAAAATCCAGCTGTCTAGCCATGCCTCTTCTGCTCACACTCTCGGTCATAGCCCCACCCATCTCTTCACATGTCCACTGATCTCCTTATTCTGGGTTCACCCTCTTAGTCATCCAGTCATTAACGAGCACTCTTTCAAGAAGCTCCACCTTGGGGACACAGTTCTCTCCAGGAGCACAGGTAAAAGCAACAGTGCTCAGTGGCAGGGCCCAGCTGGGAGTAGAGCCTTGAAAGCTGGCCTGGAGGCTTTCCCAAGAGGGCGCTCCCTAGAGATGGCCTGGGCACATACATAAGAGTTTTCTAGGTAGAGGAATGGCATAAAGAGAGCCACCTGAGGTGCACAAGTGTGCTCAGTGTGTGTGTGGCAGGGAGGGCAGCAGGCACGGTGACAGCGGTCACTGCTTCTCAGCACTTCGGGGCTCACCTCATGCAGACAAGTGTACTGGACGTGGTAGGGTGCTACCTTCTCCTCGCCTTTGATCTCTACGCTGATGTGAAGGCGGATAGCACCCGACACTGCCGACTTGTCTGTTCTCTTGTCTGTGAGGTAAGGGGACAGCAGTGTCAGAGGGTCCCAGGAGAGCCTGGCCTATTTTGAGGTCTGCTCAGCTCTGTAGTCCCCTTGAGCCCTCTTCGCTCACCCAGATTGTACCACACGTCCATCTCGCCGCTAAGCGTCCGCACCTCGATGATCGTCTGCCCCAGGAAGTCATCAGACTCCCTCTTGAACCTCTGCTTCACCCGGGATTTGATGTCATCGTCTTCGTCCCAGACTCGTACCTTGATCCGGTCAGAGGAGTTGTGACATTCACTGTGAAGGGAATAAGATTCAAGGGTAGGCATCAGGCAGTCGCTTTGTGTCAGATTTCAGAGGCCCCTTTGACTTGCCCCAGAAGTGGGCCCAGTTTGGAACCAAGGACCTAGCCAGTCACTCACAAGTGGAAATTCTCTTCCCACACCGGGTTGAGGTTCCCATAAATGGTTTTCGTCCTCTTCTTTGTCTTCCCAACCTGGACGGTGACATAAGGATCACTGGATCCTGTCTTGTCCTTGGCCTGCAAGCCCTGGGCACAGACCACTGGAAGACACACACCACACAAATGCACGTTCGAGGGAGGCATGCCAAAAGTAGTCGACAGCACTCCCCAAAGGACAGGAGACATGGCTCACCCACAGACAGTGCAGCTAGTTTTGCTAGAGAGTCACCATAGAACTCCCAAGTCTATGCATCCTCCTACCCATCATCCATCCATCCATCCATCCATCCAATCTACCCACCCACCAACCCACCCATCCATACGCCATCATCCATCTATCCATGGGATTGACCCCTCCCCTCTCACATGCATGCTGTAAGTGGCAGACACTGTCTCAGGGGGAGCCCCTCCCTCTGTGCCCGCCTCCGTCCCCTCCACTGCTCCCTCACACACCAGTAATGCTGATCTTGGCCGACCACTTGGACGTGCCATCCAGCACGCTCTGCTTGACGGCCTTCATCTGCTGTGTGTGCGCCGTCTTGGTAACAGCGAAGATCTCTTGGATGAGCTCGAAGATCTCAGGCTTGTTGCGCTCACGGATCTTCATGCGGTCCTTGAGCACCATGATGATGTTCTGTGTCCGATCCTCTGCACCGTGCTTCGAGCTCTTCTCCGCCGCCCCTGCAAAGATGAGCAGTCTCTGTCTGGTCCTCAGGTCTTCAGCGTCCAGGCCACCTCCAACCCTCGAACCTGGGCCTGACTCGCTCAGGCCTTCTTCTCTCTGAGCCACGCCCTCCTGAGCCGGCTGTTGCAAGACCCACACACCAAGAGTCTCCACCCACCCTGAGTTCCGCCCTTTTTATCAGCAAAGTCTCCCTAAGCCTGGCCAGGAACCACCACCCACCCAGAGACTCCGCCCCTCTCTAAGTCCCACCCTAGGAGTCACGCCCCCGCAGAGGTCCTCCCTTGCCTGAAGCACCGAGCCCCTGTTCAGTCCTAGCTGTCACCATCCCCACCACCCACTCTGGGCCTGCTCACCCACAGCCATCCTGCGTGGTGCGCCCTTCGCACCTGAAGCTCCTCTTTACCTTCCACCCTTTTTGGAGTCCCTGAATGCCCTCCCCACTACCTGGTCATCTCCTCCGAGATCCTCCTTCTGAGAAAGGCATAGCTGTGCTTCTCTTAGAAAGCCGGTACACACCAGCTCTCTACAGCTACTACCCCTCAGGACCTCAGCTCCGCCCCCACTGCATCCCAGCCAAGCCAAGGCTGAGCCACGCCCCTAGCCTAATACCCCACAATACCCTGCCCCTTCTGCCGGCCACATCCAATGTGTCTGCTGGCCCCTAGACTAAGCCCCATCTACAAAACCCCACCCATTGCTTTGCCTCTGGCTCCTTACTCAGTGGCACCTCTCTTCTATAGCTCCTTGAACTCTGGGCTTCCCAACACAACCTGGCCACGGCCCCTAGTCCAGCCCACACGGCTGGGCCACGCCCCCAACTCGCCCCATACTCCCTGACCACGCCCACCAACTCATCCTACACTGCCTGGTCATGCCCACCAACACCCCACACGTCCTGGACACGCTCACCAATTACCCCACAGAGCCTGGCCACGCCACCAATCACTACACTCCACCCGGCCACGCCCCACCCCGCCTCGCCTGGCCACGCCCTCAGTCCAACCTACCCAGCCTGGCCACACACCCTCAGCTCACCCCACCCAGTCTGGCCTGGCCCTAACCCTCTTGTGCTGCTATTGGCCTTCAGCAGGGCCTGGCTCCTCCCTCTCCCCGCCCCTGGCCCCGCCCCAGCTCCTCCCCGCGGCTCACGCTGCAGGCAGTCGGCATTGAGCAGGTCCTGGCACTTCTCATGGCACTTGACCCCGCACTCTGTGCAGCGCATGCCTTGCCGCGCGATGCCCCACAGCAGGCCCTCGCACTCGTAGCAGTAGGTGGGGGTGGTGGCCGTCCACACCTCGAAGTTGTGTGGCGTGGTGCAGGAGATGGGGTAGATTAAGGCTTGCAGGGTCTTCTTGTAAACGTGGTTTTTCTGCAGAGCAAGGTCCAGTGGCTGTGGCGGTCCTGCCTGCCCCTCGGTCCCCCACGGTCCCCTGCCGCACCCCTCCCTATCGCTGCAGTATGCTCTCGGAAGCGGGGATGCTTCCGGGGCCCCCATTCTTGTCCAGCCTCCACTCACCAGCTCCTCGTTGTTCAACGTGCTGGAGGCCAAGGCCGAGGTGATGCCCGCCTTCCGTGACTGGACCAGGGACTGTGGCAGGAAGATGGCCCGGGGGTGTGCCAGCCACACATAGGAGCCACCACCGAAAAAGCCCGCAGCAGACCCAGAGAAGAATTAGGGAGGACAGAGGTGCTGAGTCAGAAGGGAGCTGAGTGGTCCCACACCCTGAAGACTGGCCTTGGGGGACCATCAGGGAGCATGGAGGGAAACTGTCAGCTCTGTGGTCAAGGAGGGCAGCTCAGAGCAAGAAGTCGCCTGCTCTCCCACCCATGAGCCTTGGGACCCACGACAGGAGGCAGCTGGAAGGTCCCTCGGTGGGTGCGTTGGAGAGGACACCCCAGGCCCCATCACTCACCATGGCCTAAATGTCCATGAAGCACAAGGGGATGGAAATCAGACTGTTAGTCCCGAGTAATGCCTAGGGGCCCCAGCCCCAAGACCACCATGGACAGCTGCACAGGTTGCACACTGCCCACAGTCCCACTCAGGGTGGGAGAACCAAGCTGCTCACCAGGTCGCTCACAAGGGGAATGGGCTTCCTCTTCCTGATGTCCGGCATGCTGTCAATGATGATGAGACCACCTCCAGGGCTGCAAGTCACACAAAGACACTGAGTGCCCAGGCCTGTGGCCTCCTGTTCTAGTCCTTATCACCTGAGGCCCAGGTAGGATCCCTGACCACCCCAGGGGCTAGTTGAACTGTGTGTGTCAAAAATATAAACTGTGCTAGGTGGGTATGGTCATGCAGCCTTTAATCCCAGCACTCTGGAGGTAGAGGGAAGTGGAGTTCGGCTAGCCTGGTCTATACACACACACACACACACACAAAAAGCTAAGCTGAAACCTAGTCCCCTGTTACCTTGGGGATTTGACCTTATTTGTAAATCGGGTTCAAGGACAGCCTGGACAGCATAGCAAAACCCCATCTCAGAGGCAGGTGGATCCTTGGGCAATCCAGACCAGCCTGGTCTACATTGCAAGTTCCAGGCCAGCCGGGGGTACAGGGAGACCCTGTCTCAAAAACAAAGCAAAACAGGCCGGGCCTGGTGGTACATGCCTTTAATCCCAGCACTGGGGAGGCAGAGGCAGGCAGCTCTCTATGAGTTCGAAGGCAGCTTGGTCTACATATCACATTCCAAGACAGCTGGGGTTACAGGGAGACCCTGTCTCAAAAAAAAACAAAAAACAAAAAACAAAAAACCCCAAAAAACCCAAAAAACCCTTCAAAAACAAAACAAACAAAAAACCAATAAATAAATAAATAAATAAAGTCATGTACATTTACATTGTAAATGGAACTTCTCAACACTCCTTAGTTTGAGCAACAGATGTGAATGACCCTTAAGGTCTGGCTTCTAAACCTCCTCCCCTTAACCATGGTGCTTACTCACCCGCCTTTGAACCACAAAGATTTGGACATTTCTCCTTCTCCCCGTGCCTGCAGGACAGACAGACAGACAGACCTGGTCACCCTCCACTCCCAGAGCAGGAATGCCCACCCTCTCTCCCATGTGTGTGTGGAATCAGGGAAGACAGGTCTTAGGCCTCACTCTGCATCTTTACACAGCTCCCTGCACCTCTCTGGGCCTTAGTCTATAAAACAGGCCCAGGGAGACAGAGCTCTCTAACAACCAAACTTCACTGTCAACCCAGAAGACATATGCACATTTTTCTCACAGGGTCTCAACTGATTTCATCATCCTGAGGTTCTTATAACTTTTCTTTTCTTTTTTTGTTTTTTTTGTTTGTTTTGTTTGGGGTTGCTTGTTGTTTCTGGTCTGAGACAGGGTCTCCCTGTAGCCCCAGCTGGCCTGGAACTCACCAAGCAGACCAGGCTGGGTGCCAGTTTGAGCCCTGACCTCTGACCTCACTGCCCTGCCCCTGCCCTCTGTCCCTACCCAAGAGTCTGACCCCTGGTGTGCCTTGTTCTGACCCCAGGCTCCAATTCTCCCTGCAATGTTGGAAAGCCTAGAAACTGTTAGGGTATGGAGCTGGGGCCAGAATGAGCAGGAGCCCAGTGCACTGGTGGGCAGGGCCAAGCTGTGTGTGGGTGGGGTGATGGGTGTGGATGTGGGCTTGGGCTTGCTAGCCCTGGGTCTTACTGTGGGTGGGGTGATGGGCATGGTCTTGTTGGGCATGAGGTTATGGGTGTGGTTTTGCTGGGTGTTGGAGTGGTGGGGCTGGTCTGGTTGGATGTTGGGTGATAGATATGGTCTTGCTGGGCACGGGGTAGTGGATGTGGTATTGCTGGGTATGGGGTGGGGGCACTGGCATGGCTGGGTCCCATCACTTACCTCCTGTAGTTGTATCCGCACCTTGTTGAAGGCCCGCAGCCAGTTGGCCTTGGCCCTGGACATGGAATCCTGCCCCTCCTGTCTCTCCTGATCCTCTCCAGGCCTAGAACCGAGTCAGAGAAGGTGGTCAGCACCCAGGGCTGCTCATGTTCCGTCCATGAGATGGGCAGTAATCGGAAACCCCCAGATTCCACTGCATCCCAGTCCTGTAGGTCCCTGGGCCTTAGCTCCTCCTGGTACCTCTCCTCAGCCTTGGGGGGCTCAGCTTCCTGTGCAAGTTTGGTTGCTGACACCTCTTCAGGTGTGGCTGGCTTGGGGACGCCCCTGGTCCCATCTGGGGCCTCTGTGGGCACTGCTGGGACCTTCTCTTCCTCTGGGGCAGCAGGTGGGAGGCTGACACGCTTGAATTCTTTGGGCTCAGCCACCGTGATGTCCTCCCTCTGGGCATAGCTGGCCAGGTCATCAGGCACCTCCTCTTCCTCCTCTTCTTCCTCTTCTTCCTCTTCTTCTTCCTCTTCTTCCTCCTCTTCCTCTTCCTCCTCGGGCAGCTCATCCTCCAGGTCCTCCAGGTCCTCCAGGTCCTCCAGGTCCTCCAGCTCCTCATCCTGGTCCCAACGTGGGGAGTCCTTGTGGTAGCTCACCGAGCTGTGGCATGAGTGGTAGGAGTCCCGGTCCCGCTCATCATCCAGCTCCGAGCCCTGCAGGCTGCGTTCATCAGGGTCGAAGTCCTCACTCAGCTGCGAGCTGCCCTGGCTCAGCTCCCCGGAGGATGCATAGCGGCTGCTGCCCGTGGGGCTGCAAAGACCAGGACTCAGTCAAGGCCATGCCAGCCACTGGTCACTCACACCATCACCCAAGCCTATAATCAGCACAGATTGAGCACCTACTGTGTGCTAGTTCCTATTCAAGATACCAAGAACACAGACCCCATCACCCAGGCCTATAATCAGCACAGACTGAGCACCTACTGTATGCTCATTCCTCTCTGTTCCAGGAATACACACTCCACTCTCACCTTCACATGTACTCAGCATGGACTGAGTGCTTACTGTGTGCCTGCTCCTGCTCTCTGCTCCCGGAACACATAATCCAGGAATGGGCACCTACTTTGCTTGCTCCCGACCTCCAACATTAAGATCTCCCACCTCTGAACCTCTACACTGCTTTATTTGGCAAAGTCCTATTCATCCTTTTAAAAATGTATTTATTATTTTTATTTTATGTGTACAAGTGCATTGCCTGCATGTGTGTAACTGCACCGTGTCCTGTAATGCCTGCAGAGGTCAGGAGAGGATATCAGATCCCCTAGAACTGGAATTATGGACGGTTGTTAGCTGCCATGTGGGAGTTGGGAACTAGACCTTGGTCCTCTGCAATACCAGCCAGTGCTCTTAACCACTTTGCCAGTACCCTATTCATACCTCCATATCCATCAAAATCTCATTTTCTCAGTGACACTGGCCTGATCTGGTTTTCTATTACAACCTTATAATGCCCACATGGATCATCTCAAACATAACCGGGAAGAAATATCTGCTGCCCACCAGGACCAATGAACCTTCTACTCATTCACTCAACAAACACTGTTGTTCCTTGTCTTAAATACTGCTGCGGTCCTCTTCGCCAGCCAGCCCATCATGGGGGCTCTCCTTCAAATCCTTGTTTTTTGGTTTTGTGGCCTTAGCCACATTTCGGTGCCTGATCTGGAGATGGGATGGAGCTCGGCTAGCAGTAGCCGCCGCCTAACTGCGCACGTGCTCCTCCTCGTGGTGAGATTCAGAACTGCACCCCAGCAGGTTCGCGCCAGGGGATCTGCCAGGTTAGGGTTCCAGAGTCCTGGGCGCCGACCCACCACCCCAGGCTTAGCTTCCTCTTCCTGCACAAAGAGGTGGAACTTGGTGGCACCAACCTTCCCTCACCTTGGCTCCCAGGCCCCTTGGCTCCTCACCCTCCAACCAGTCACCCAAGGGTCCTGGGTGCATGTACTGGGCCATGCATGGCTCTGCAGTCAGTCCCCAGTCAGGCCTCCCTGTGCCAGGATTCTACCCCCTGCTGGGACGCCTTGTATGGGGGCCAGTTCCTCCTCTGGGAAGCCCTCCGGGGTCATCCCTGGCCTCAGCTGAGGGCTGACCTTGTAGTCTCACCTTCCTCAGCCTCACAGAACCCAGTGCTCAGAGGCTTCCATGTCCTACTGCCCCACCCATTCCCTTCCAGGGGTTCTCAGGACTCTTTCAGAGATGCATGGAGAATGGTGGAGTGTTTGTAGCTCAGTTGATAAAGCTCGTACTTCAGTATCTAGGGTGCTCACAGCTCAGTTGGCAGAGTGCTTGTAGCTCAGTTGGTAGAGTACTTCCCTAGCACACAGGAAGCCCTGGGTTCCATCCCTGGCACTGTATAAACTGGGCATGGTGGTGCACACCTGTTATCCTAGCACCAGGAAGGCTGAGGCAGGAGACACAAGAGGCCAAGATGTAAAAAGAGACGTACACACAGGATGAGAGGTGCAGGTCAGGCCTTAGTTTATGCCTTGAGGTAGGGTCTCATGTAGCTCAGGCTGGCCTCCAAACCCTTATATACCCGAGAACCACGTTGAGCTACTGAGCCTCCTGGCTTAGCCTCCTGAGTGCTGGGATGACAGGAGTGCATCACTACTCTGACTTTACCATCTGGAGTAAATGGCCAGACCCAACTGGTTGTGACCTTGAAGTTAAGCCCTTGGGACCTAAGATGTCACTCCTTCCATTCAGCCTCATCTTTCCACCTCTGCCCAGTCAGGCAGTACACATACACCGGGCCAGTGGCATTTAAGGGGAGTATTATTATAAAGAATTAGACTTTCTAAGGAACCCCAAGGGTCCCTGTGTCCCCCAAACCAAGTCCCCCCCTTTTCTTTTTGTTTTGTGTTTTTTTTTGTTTTTTTGTTTTTTTTTTTGAGACAGGGTCTCACTATGTAGCCCTAGCTGTCCTGGAACTCCCTATGTAGATCAGGCTAGCCTCAAACTCAGAGATATCTGCCTCTGCCTCTTGAGTACTAGGATTAGAGGTCTGCACCACCCCACCCCACTCCCAGATTAGCAAGGTTTCATGAAGCTTTTAGAATTTCTTTTCTTGCATTTGGGTTTTTTTAAGAAGGCTCCACCGTATGTAAGAAAGTGGTAAGGGCTGCCAAGATTGTTTAGCAAATAAAGGAGCTTGCTGCCAAGCCTAACCAACTGAATTTGATCTCTTCCATCTACGTGGTGGAAGTAGAGAACCAACTCCCTTAAGTTGTCTTCTGACCTCCACACTCATGCACATGCACCCTCCCACACCCTATCCACAGAACAAACATAACTTAAAAATGTAAAGAAAATGTGAAATCTGTTCTATGAGACGGCTGACCGGCGCTGTGCCCCGGACCGCTAAAGGCCCCGCCCTCCCCAGCAGGCCCCGCCCCCACCAAGGCCCCACCCCCCGCAGGCCCCGGCACACCCTCTAGGGCCTCACAACTACCTAAGCGCCCTCGGCTCGGAGAACTCCTCATAACTGTGTATGGAGTCACTGTGGGATTCCCGGGAGCCCAGAGGGGGCGGCCGCACCGAGTACTGGTGGACCGAAGCGTTGGGCTGCGACGTGGTGTAGTAGGGGGGCGGGATGCTGTTGCTGGTTTCGCTGCGGTAGTCGCTGTCCCGGTCATCAACAGCACTGTCAGGGTCATCATCTGCGAGGCAGAGGAGGTGAGAGAGGGAGAGAACTCAGTGGGGTTCACAGCCTCTGCCCAGACTGAGGTGCATCCCCAACCTCTGCTAATCGCTTCATGAATGGATCAAGTATTATGGGTCATATTCACAGAGGTATAGACTTTAGAACTACAGAGGTTAAAACCTTATATTGCCTCATATAGACCTAGAATCGAGGTTACATCCTATGATGTAAAGAGGACTCATTCCTTGGGATCCTGAAAAAATCCCTCTTGTTTTTCATAGTCTAGACTTTGCAGAGTTCATTCTCACATGCTACTAGAAGGTCCCTGAAACTGCAGACGATGTGCTCCAGCCACCAAGATGCCAACTACCTTCTCCACCCAGTTATCTGGGTAAATCAACGTTCTTTCGACCAAATTATCCCAGACTGGGTTGAGAGGTTTTCAGCTCATGCTGTGTGTATTTTCACACAGCTATGGTTTTGTTTTTCAGACAATCTGTTTTGGAAGGAAAAATCATTTCCAAATAGAGTCTGTGATTTTGCTGGTCTTGCTTTTTTACTATTTTTTTTTTAATTCCATTCCATTTATTTTTTTTAGTGTAGAGGGAGCACACATTCGGAGGTCAGAGAACATCTTGCAGGAGTCAGTCTCTCCTTCCACCATGTAGGTCCCAGGGACTGAACCCAGGTTGGTAGGCTTGGCAGCAAGCACCTTTACCCACTGAGCCATCTCAACACCCCCACCAAATGTTTTTGGCCAAATTGCTCGCATCCATTGGAAATTGCCTTCCATCCAATGGAAACTGCTCTATTTCCAGCCATTTTGGTTTTGGCGAAACCATCAGCTTTTGGCTCAGTTTAGTATCCCCTTTACCCAAAGACCACCTTCGGCCAGCCAGATTTAACAAAAGTGTCTTTGCTCTGGCTGTCCAGGGATGGAATCCCAGGCCTTGCCCATGCATGGCAGTTGCTCGGGCTCTTTAGGGTGCAAGGGCCTTTGTAGTGGGATGGGGTGGAGTGGGGGACATCTTTCCTTCCCCAGGAAGCAAACAGGAGCAGGACATGTATGGACCTGAGGGAACTAGGGTCAATTCTGTGACCCAGCCCTGGGATGGTTACACATGGGGGACAGGGAGGCAGATGAGGGGGTCCCAGTGCCCAGCTGGAGACAGGCAGGTCCCCATCTCAATGTCCCCTATGGTGCTCGGCCTCCCTAGGGTCTCCATCAATTACTTACTCTGCTCTCCCCAGCCAAAGTAGTTCCAGTTGCCTATGAGAGAACAGGCAGAGATGAGGATAGGAAGGCCTCTGCCACCCCCCTTCCCCTCCCACCCCCATTGGCCCCAGCACCCCAGTCCCACAAAGGCTGGGACCTGAAGTTTCTTCCCCAACACCTTGGGAGCATTGGGCAGCAAATAGCCCGGGGCCGTCTAGGACCATGGTCCTTGGACTCTGGAATCTGGGGTCAAAGCTCCCCACTCTCCCCTCTTCAGTTCATGGATTAAAAACAATACTATGGGAGGTTGGAGAGATGGCTCAGTGGTTATGAGCACTGACTGCTCTTGCAAAGGACCTGAATTCAGTTCCCAGCACCCACATGACAGCTGACAATAGTTATAACTCCAGTTCCAGGGGTTCCAGCGCCATCTCTGGCCTCCACCGGCATTGCATGCAGGTGGTGCACTTACATACATGCAGGCTAAACATTCATACACATAAAATAAAAACAAATAAATGGCTGGGCGTGGTGGCGCACACCTTTAATCCCAGCACTTGGGAGGCAGAGGCAGGCGGAGCTCTGTGAGTTGGAGGCCAGCCTGCTCTACATAGTGAGTTCCAGGCCAGCTGGGGCTACAGAGAGACCCTGTCTCAAAAAGTAAATAATAAATAAATAAATAAGTAAGTAAATAAATAAATCAGCCGGGTGTGTCAGTGCATGCTTTTACTCCCAGCACTCGGAAGGCAGAGGCAGGCAGATCTATTAAGTTTGAGGCCATGGCAAGTTCCAGGTCAGCTGAGGCTACAGGGAGACCCTGTCTTAAAAAAACAAATAAAAATCCATCATTCAAAACTGTTTTATGAATTATGTAGTGTGTGTGTGTGTGTGTGTGTGTGTGTGTGTGTGTGTGTGTTGCCCACAGAGGCCTGAAGAGTTGTGATCCACCCAGTGTGAGTGCTGGGAACCAAACCCAGGTCCTCTGCAAGAGCAGCTTGTGCTCTTAACCACTGAGCCATCTCTCCAGCCCCATTTGCTTTCTTTTTTAAGGTTCAGAGAGGGTGAGTGAGCAGTCTGAAGCCACACAGCCTTGGAGCCACAGGGCCAGAAACATAACATTGTCCTCCTTCACTCCCTAGCAACCAATCTCAAAGGTGGTCCCAGGGTCACAATTCAACCTTGTCTGACCCTTGGCTGCCTATTTTGTGCAACAGGGGTGACAAAGCACCCTGAGGGGTACCTAGAGGTCAGCACTGGATGGTGGTGTTCAGATCCCAATTCAAGTTTGCCTCAGTTCGCCTGCCCAGAGGTTCTCTGTTCTCCCTCCTGCCCCTACCTTGTCTGGCCCTGTCCCCAACATGACTCCCTACCTGCACCCTCCAGCCCCACACTCCTGGGCACGGGGGTGGGTGGAGGGGGGGAGAACACAGGGACAGGGGACATGGGGGGCAGATGAAGCAGGCTGGAATAACGGGGCAACGTGGATGGTAGTCGTGGACTCTGCATGACTGTAGAGGACTCCCAGAGTGAGGAGGGCACACTGTGGTGCAGGGCTCTGATGTATCTGGATGTTCAGGGACTGAGGAAGCGGGGCGGTCGTGATGGGGGAGGCAGAGGCAGAACTGCCTGAGCCTGGAACCTCAAGGCCAGGCTGAGCCACAGAGGAGACCCCCCCGTCCAGTGTCTCTGGACAGCAACAGTAGGCATGGTATGCTGGGGCTCCTTGGTCCTGGGGCTCCAGCCCTGCCCTTGGGCCTCAGGATTGAATGAGTGACTAATTTTGAGACAGGGTCTCCTTGTAGCCCTAGCTAGCCTGGAACCAGATATGAGATCTGCCTGCCTCTGCCTCCTGAGTGCTGGGACTAAAAGGGTGTGTTGTGCTACCATGTCCAGGTCTCAGTGGGGTTTTTTTTCTTCTTTTATTTTTTGGGGTTTTTTGTTTGTTTGTTTTTCTTTTTGGTCTTTTTGAGACAGGGTCTCTCTGTAGCCCCAGCTGTCCTGGATTCACCGTGGAGACCAGGCTGGCCTCGAACTCACAGAGATCCACCTGCCTCTGCCTCCTGAGTGCTGGGATTAAAGGCGTGCGCCACCATGCCCAGCTCTCAGTGTTTTTTTAATCTAACAAAATAATCATACTGCCAAGCCATCTGGCAATATGGGGTTGTTGACTACTCTCTCTGACACAGGCCGCCTGAGTGTAGGTAGCCCTGTAAGTTCCAGGGCCCCATGGGGTCCACAGTGGTGTGTCTATGTGTCCTGGTGGTCCCTACAGTTAAGGGATGTCAGGGGTCCATTGCAGCATGAGGGACACTCTGCAAGACAAGACTTGGGCCCCACACCTCACTTGGTTTCTTTCTATGTGCTTCCAGCCACTTGCGGCTGCTCCGCCCCTTAGCCAGGACCCACTGGATGGGACAGTCATGGGACCCGGTGCAAGAGACACTCACAGCACTGGCTGCTGGGGACCGGCAGTGGCTTGTCTGGCTCGTCCTGGAATGAGTACTGTGGGAAGGAGGGGACACAGCTCAGGGGACAGCAGGGACCACACTGAGCATGCTCAGCCCACTATACTGTAGGAAGAGTGGATGAAGCTCAAGGGACAGTGTGGACAGGTGTCACTGTGCTGAGCATGCTCAGCCCACTACATCCGACTTTGTGTGTCCGGGGAGAGAGATGGAGAGATCGGAGAGAAACACAGACAGGAGAGAGACATGAGACATAGCGAGAGACAGAGAGACACAGATAGCAGAGACAGAATCAGGAGAGAGACAAAGACAGACTCACAGAGACAGAGAGAGACAGTGATACAAAGAGACAAACAGAGACGAGAGACAGAGACAGGAAAGACACAGATACCCTGGTGAGTGGCAGGTGACAGCATGGCTCCCTATTTTCTATCCCCTCCTCCCAACCTACTCCAGGACTGTGTGGGGACTACATGGGTCCCGCTGTGGACTGACATTCCCCACAGCGTGGAGACTAGGCCCGAGGCTGGGATGGCAGGGCAGGGGACATTCCAGCATGTGTTCCCACAGAGGTTAGGGCAGGTGGCTGGGATCCCCCATAGCTGCTATGACAGTGGACCCTATGCACCCCCAGGAGCCCTGTTGCCAGGAACGGCAAGCAGAGCATGGAACAGAGGCTGTGCACATACCTCGTCCTGGTCACGCATGGCATTCAGCTGCTCCAGCTTCTTGGCCCAGTAGCGTGCCTCCTCCTCAGGGATATCTGCAATCAGAGCCACACATGGGAACCTGGGGACCCCTGCCTCCCTCCCACAGTCCCAGAGCTGGGTGGTATATGGAGCCACCTGGGAGACCCAAGGATGGGTGGGGAGTAGAGAGGGCAGAAAGTCAGTGTGTTTGTGTGTGGGGGGGGTAATATGTTCAGAGGCCACTGGCCTGTAGTGGGACCATGAGTGGGTGCTGGGGCTCCAGGGCTGGAGAGGCTTCAGGACTCACCTAAGGGCAGTTCGAAGCGTGTGTCCAACAGGATGCGGTGGAAGGTGGGGTCCTTAGTCCCACAGATCTCACTATCGGCCATGATGGCCTGAGAGTCCAGTGTCAGCCACTCTCCAGGGCCCTCCTGGGCATGGGGAAGGCAGGGTCAGGGCTCAGGGCGCTCATGGCGCAAACCTGGCTGCAATGCTAGCATCTCTTGAGGGTCCCCACCCCATCTCACCCTTCACCATGTGGCAAAGGTTCTGTCCTGACTTTGCAGACGAGGACCTTCAGGGCTCGGGCTCCCGACAGAAGACCCAATCCCATCACCAACCAGGAGGAACCTTCCAAAGAGAATGAGCCTGCCCCCTGGTTCAGGCACAAGAGCCCCATGAGCATCTGTGGTCCACCCTGACCCTTGGTCTCTTCATCTCTCCATTAAAAATGAGGAGCTAGGTGGTGCAACAGGAGGAATCTGCCTAGGCCCTGGCAGTTTGGGATGTGTTTTAACAGTCGCAGGTGTGCCTGAATGCCTGGAGACAGGGCAAAGGTTCACTGTTTTGGCCACAAGCCCCTGGGCTTCCCTCAGGCCCTCCTCCTTCCTCACCAGACGCTCACCTCATTGGACTGGCGGATGGTCCGCAGTGGGATCCACACAGTGCCCACCATCGTGTCCCAGATGAGACCCTTGTTCCATACCTCCACAGTCAGGCCCAAATCCAGGCGGTTAATCTCACTGTGGGAGGAGGACGTGGGGGAGGGGGTCATCAGGGCAATGGAAGGGAGATAAGGAGGCTCAGAGAGGTCTAGACACAGGCCTGAAGACACACAGCATATTGCAATTGAAAGCTAGGCCCAAAGGAGCTCTGAAGGCAACACCCTGATTCACATTTTACAAAGGAGAAACAGGCCACAGGAGATGCATCTACCTCAGAATACCACAAGGAGCCAGAGTCACAGGTGGGAGGGAAGCAAACGGAAGGTACGGTTTGTGCTCTTCCAACTTGTTGGCCCTCCTCAGGCCACCAGGCCCTGACTGTGCTTGGGGGGGCGGGGAGACACATCTCAGATGCCTCCCAGCCAGAATCCTCTTGGGGCATCTCTTTGGGGAGCTGACAAATGCCTGGGTCCTCATCCCAGCTATGGTCGTGCTGTGACACTGAGCAGGTGACTTGACATCTCTGGGCCTCTATTTCTTCATCTGTAAAATGGGGATTATCACAGCAACCCTATGTAGGTGGGCCCCCCTCACATCAGTGGGCACAACTGATTTTAATGAAATAATGAGGAATCTTAGAATGGGATGTAGCCCAGGTCACTGGACATAACAGACAGGATAAGGGACAGGTATGTTGACACACACCTTTGTAATATCAGCACTCAGGAGGCTGAGGCAGGAGGATTGGGAATTCAGGGTCATCCCTAGCTATATAGCAAATTTGAGGCTAGCCTGGCCTACATGAGACCATGTCTCAAAAAATCAATAACACAAGAAGAGATTAGCCAAGACCAGAAATTGTAGCCAGGATCATGGTGGCCCTGTGTGGCTCCAGGTTGGTGGGAGGGTCCAGGCCTTTATCTCACTCATCTGACAAATATTTGTTGAGTATCTACTGAGTCCCCAGCTGGTTTCATCCTCCCAGGGCTCAGAGTCTGACAGCAGAGGGAAGAGCGTGAAAAACCACAGAAAGAGCTAAAATATCTGTTGGTGAAGCTTGGGAAAGACAGGGTGCTGAGGTGCAGCTAGGTGGCAGAAGTCAGGGGAAGGTCCCCAGAAGCAGCAAGGGGGCCCGCAGGTGCTAAATTCAGGACTGAGGAGAGGGGGAGGGTTCAGGAACTCAAGTGATTTCCGGGTTTTTGTTTTGTTGTCTTTGTTTTTGGTCTTTTTGAGACGGTCTCCCTGTAGCCCCAGCTGTCCTGGAACTCACTATGTAGACCAGGCTGGCCTTGAATTCACAGAGATCCACCTGCCTCTGCCTCCCGAGTGCTGGGAGTAAAGGCGTGTGCCACCACACCCGGCTGATTTCCAGTTTTTAAAATATCCCCAGAGCTGCCTGGAGAGTAGACCGGAAGGTTGAAGGGGAGGCTGGTGGACGCAGGCCATTTCCCGAATGAGCAGAAAAGATTGGATCCCCAGCTGGGCTGTGGTGGCAGGAGGCAGAGGCAGGCGGATCTCTGTGAGTTCAAGGCCAGCCTGGTCTACATAGTGAGTTCCAGGTCAGCTGGGTCTACAAGGAGACCCTGTCTCAAAAAGACCAAAAAAACAAAAAAAGATTGGATTCCCCTCCCCATGGGTTTGGGGTACCAAGGGGAGGGCGGAGGGGGCGGGGCTGCGAGAACCGGGGCGGGGCTGTAGGTAGAGGTGGGTAGACGTGGTGAGCACGTTGGAGGTGGGGCCTGAACCTGTAATGGGTGTGACATTGGGGGCATAGCAGGCAGCACGGATGGGCAGGGACTGGTGGAATGGGTATGGGCTTGGCAGGCTGGGGATTTGGCAAGCATGGTAGGAAGGGACAAGGTCTGCTCAGGGCATGGCGGTAAGACCTGCTTGGAGTGGGGCTGTTTGGGTGTGGAGCACATTTGGGCACGGTCTGTACGGAAGGAGACTTCTGGCGCGGGGCCTTTCGGGGGCGGGGCCTGACGGGGCGGGGCTGTCTGGGGCGGGGTCTGTTGGGTAGGCTCCTAAGTAGGGCCTGTGTGGGCGGGGTCTGGGGGAGGGGCTTCTAGGTGCACTCACAACATGAAGTCCTGCTCCCAGCTGGGCTGGCTGCCACGCACTGCAATGGTGGTGCTCTTCACGTTCTGCACTTTCAGCGTCACGTACGTGTTGAATTTCTCTGTGGCAGAGAGCGGGCGATGGCCAGGCTGTCCTCTCCCTGGGTCTGCATGTTCACTCGGACCCAAGGGTTCTGCAGCAGGCCCAGACTCCACAACCACCAGTAATAATTTTTAAAAAACTAAACAGGAAAAATAGCATTTCTAATGGATTTGCATTTCAGCTGGGGAGGCTGAGGCCCCAAAGAGAATGCAATTGGCTCAGGGCACGGTGGACATACCAGTCATGCCAGAAGGGATGGAGAGTTCAGTGAGACCCTGCCTCAAAATTCAAAGCAACAGATGCTGCGGCTGGAGCTGTTTCCCATGGGTCTCAGTCTGCTCCCTGCCAGTGTCCCCAGCCTGGCTAGGGACAACAGGCTGACAAAGTCTAAACTAGGCCCTCCCCAGCTGAACCCACACTCTCCACATGCACAGCAGGTGCTGAGACCAGGAGACCAAACAAGGACAGACAGGACAACAGTGACAGCATAGGACAGCCAGGAGGACAGGGAGCTTACCTTGGGCACCGTCAAACTTGGCTTTTTTGACTGTGGAGAGAGAAAGAGGGTGGGGGAGAGCCGGGAGGGGATGGGGAGAAGCAAGAGAGGAGAGAGAGAGACAGAGAGAGAGAGAGAGAGAGAGAGAGAGAGAGAGAGAGTTAAGAAGCGCGAAAGAGACGCTCAGACAGAGAGAAAGAGAGAGGGGGAGAGAGAGAGAGAGAGAGAGAGAGAGAGAGAGAGAGAGATTAATTAGGAGCATAAGAGGCCCTCAGAGTCAGAGAAAAAGAGGAGGAGGAAGAGGAGGAAGAAGAGGAGGAGGAGAAAGAAGAGGCGATCAGATAGACCCAGAGCAGAAGGCATGTGGCCCAAGGGTGCTGCTCCCCATCCCTCCCAAGCTCCCTGAGGTTCCTTCACCCCAACTCAAGCAAAGTCAAAACTGAGCAGGTGGCACAACAAACACTCCCCCCAGAGGTCCTCAAGGATGGCCAGGAGGTGGAGGGCAGAGGACAAGGGGACAGCCTTCAGTGCCCAGGAGGGTGGGTGGCCCCTGCCTCAGTTAACACCTCAGTCTAACCAAATGCACCTTCAGCTTGGGGCTCCAAACTCCAAAGTGGGACCAGGGATTGTGGGGGAATCCCCTCCTGCTTCTCCCTCTCCGGTAGCCTCTCCAAATTACCCACTAGATCTGTGTAGGCAACATATGCCCATTTGACCAAACCCAAAGCAACTAAAATCAGATGCTTTAAAACCTCAGCACTGTCGAGACCCTGTCTCAAAAAGACAAAAAACCCCACAAAACCCTCAGTGCTGTCTTGTGCTCCCTCCCCTTGTGTTCCCCAGTACTGCCCTTGCACCCAGATGTCAACACAGCCAGCTTCTGGTGACACTGGGGACAGTTTATGTGGGACAGGCTTGTACACTGTGCTGGATAGCTTTAGTTCAACTTGACACACCTGGGTTGAGGGAGCCTCAGTTGGGGAATTTCCTCTATTGGACTGGCCTGTGGCCATGTCTGAAGGGCATCTTCTTGAAGAGTGATGTGGGAGGGCCCAGCCCACTGTGGGTGGTGTCACCCCTGGGCAGGTGGGCCTGTGTTGCAGGCTGAGCAGGGGCCAGGGGAGCAAGCCAGTAAGCAGCGTTCCTCCATGGCCTGTGCTCCAGCTCCTGCCTCCAGGTTCCTGCCCTGAGTTCCTACCTTGGGCTCCCTGATGAATTATGACCTGGGAGGTGTAAGGCAAACCCTTTCTTCCCCAAGTTGGTAGTGGTCAGAGTGTTTTGTCACAGCAATGAAGAAACAAACTAGGACATACACACAGGTGTTCTTTCCTTTGCAATGACAACCTCCTCAATGAAAAACCCACATTTTAAATGCCAATAAATTTTGTATCAGGCTGGGCCTGGTGGCCTTTAACAGGCCTTTAACCCCAGCACTCAAAGAGGCAGAGGCATGAGGTCTATGAGATCAAGGCCAGCCTGGTCTACATAGTGAGATAGCCAGCCAGGGTTACTTTGATAGAATTTGTGAATTGCAGAAGAGCCAGGAACCTCATTAGGGAAAGCCATAAATCCTTTAGTGTGTAACTGGCCCTAAATTGACAGCCGGGCCTTGCTCAAGTGCGGCCTTACTCAAGCCTTATCAACTGGCCACTCCCTGGACTGAGAGACTGTGGAGCCCACCTGTCTCCTTTAGTGCTATAGATAACTCACCTGCCTGTCTGAGAAAAGAGACCCTCAAGGACACCAGACCCTGGGATGGAGTTAACTCTTGCAGCTGTGTGCAGCAGAGTTCCTATATAAGACCAGATTGCTCCCTGTTTAGAGCGCAGATAATCATTCCTCAAGGAACAGCTTTTATCAGCTCTTTGCTGGCTTCCTGAATCCAGGGAGCACATTCCTTGCGACCTGGCTCTGGTTCTTATTTCTAAACTTTAAACTCCTTCCTTTTTCCCACCTCCTAAATCTAACATACATAGTGAGACTTGTCTCAAAAAAAAAAAAAAAAATCAGAAAAAGTTTGCTATTGCCAGACTAGAGACCTGGCTCAGCAGTGAAGAGCTCTGGCTGCTCTTGCAGAGGACCTGGGGTTGGTAACAAGCACATACATTGTGGCTAACAACAGTCAGTAACTCCAGTTCCGGGGGATCCAACACCCTCTTCTGGCCTCTGTGGGCATTGCATGTACATGGTGCACTTACATACATGCAGGCAAAACGTTCATACACATAAAATAAAAATAAATACATATAGCCAGGTGTGGTGGCACATGCCTTTAATCCCAGCACTCCAGAGGCAGAGGCAGGCGGATCTCTGTGAGTTCAAGGCCAGCCTGGTCTACATAGTGAGTTCCAGGACAGCTGGGGCTACAGGGAGACTCTGTCTCAAAAAGACCAAAAAAATAAAAATAAATAAATAAATACATATAAAATAGTTTGCTTTCACACCCACCAACTGGGGGTGGGTTGGGGTGTGGAGCATGAATGAACCCTTCACATTGGGGGCAGGAGCACTGGCTCAGCCTGGAGAAGAGAGGAGCTGGGTTCAATGCCCCTGCTGTGACCCCAGGCTAGCAAGGGCCCTTTTCTGAGCCTCCACCTGTCTCCTGCTTTATCCTGGCTTTTCTACACCCTCCCTTGCTGTCTTCCTCCCTCCTCCCTCCCCCCCTTTCCTTTTCTCAAGGGGTCTCCCCATCTCCTCCTCAGTCCCTCCTTTCTTTCCTCATCCCCCACTTCCCCCTCTCCACCTTCTCCCTCTGCCGCCCCTCTGTGTCGTGCCCCGCCCCAGTCGCAGCCCCTGCCAATGCAGTTTTCATGTCTGGAGGTGGGTTCTTTTGGGGTCCTCAAGACCCCTCTGACAACTGGGGGGGCTCACCCCTCCACCCCCAGGTGTTTGGTTAAGGGGGAAGGAGGCCACTCAAGGCTGCTTGGGAAGGAAGCTCCCGGAAGGTCTGCGGAGGGGGAGGACCCTGTGAGGAAGGGGCTGCCGGATGGGGGGGCTGAGGAGGTGGGGGAGGGGCAT